AAATCTGAAAATTTGAGAATTTGGAAATTTGGAAATTTGGAAATTTGGAGACTTGAAAATTTGAAAACTTGAAAACTTGAAAACTTCAAATCTTGAAAACTTGAAATCTCGAAAACTTGAAAACTTGAAAATTTGAAAATTGATTCAATTAATTATATGCATATTATAATATGCATAGAAAGAACGAAACGTGAGTATCAAGAGGCGGTCGATGATACTGGCGTTCCATACACGGCAAACGGAAGTCTTCCAGGCGCGTAGCAGCGTCGTTTGTCAGCGTGTGTGCGCACCTGTGTGTATCCTGGGTCAGCGAACTCGCTGTCGAGAATCTGGATGGAATTCTATTGTGATATCTGGCCTCAAACGATTTGACACAGCTCAATAACATCACGCAGTATATTGCGCTTTAATTTGCCGGAAGTAACGTGGATCCTTTTCGTGGTTATTAATGTCACGGTATTCGAATCAAATTGTGGCGGGAAAATTATGGCGGGAAAATTGATTAGATGGAACAGATACACTGTTTAAAGTATTAAGATAGAAATATGTACTTTAATACAATAATAGGATTTCTTCAATTTAAGAGGATTAAATATAAAAGCTTAAGAATGTTCTGACATGTGAAATTTTTCAATTTGTAAAATTGTACAAATTCAAATTTTCAAATTTTTATCTCTTCAAGTTTACAAACTCTGAAATTTCATAATTTGAAAAGCAAAACCCATAGAAATATTGATGGGACAAAGGAAAAATATTAAGAAGTGTCACAGTTGAACATTTATCATGTGGAGTTTCGTTGCTCCGTCGGTAACTACTCCACGGCGGGAAATTTGAAAGCATGACAATTTAAAATTTCAAGAAGTTTAATCTACATATTCAAAATTTTTAATTCTTCAATTCCAAAATATAGAATTCCTAATATACACATTCCAAATGAATAAATAAAATAAATAAATTATAAATTCTTAAAATTTTTAAACAAATTATAAATTCCTTACAATGTAAAGTATTGAACACAGCTGAAAACAGTGTATGCTCATCTCAAACTCCAAAAAATTAACACGTTTCACATTCTTCCCAAGAAACAAAAAGAGCAAATAGAAAGCCAATGTCAATCACGCGGTTTCCTTGCAAACGTGTCGCGCACTGAAGCGCCGGACAATCTGCATTCATTACAACGGTAGAAGATGTGTCATTCTTTGTCAGACATCGTTAATGCACACACGTGTACACGTGTACGTGCCGAGGCAAATATTTAGTGCCTCAGTAAACACGGCGACGTGTTCTTAATCCGATCACGAACGGTTCGAAAAGCTAACGTAGAAGGAAATTTCTTTCGACAAAGAAAGTTGCAATCGATGTTCTTGGATGTAATAAACGTCTTCTCATTTGTTGATTTCAGCTGCCAGTGATAGCGACGCTTCGTTGGATTCGAGGGACGGTCGTGGTATCCTGTGGAACGGAATTTCTAATAGTGAGACTTGTTTGACTTCGAAAGGAGAAGTTGGACGGTGTACGAGCTTTAAGGAGTGCTACCCTTACTTCAAGATTCCTGATCTGAGCGCTCTGGATGGATGGGTTCTTGGCGTTTATGATACTTGCAGTTATATGAGAGAAAATGGCGAGACGAACTTTGGTATCTGTTGCTCCAATGTACTTCCTGTGGTCACTCCGCCGGCGGACAACGATGGCACCACTGTAGAGGACTCTCAGGTAACTAGCGGTTAGGTAAATGGCTGTCAGGTAACTGGCGGTCAAATAATTGGCGGTCAGGTAAATGGTTGACCTTGGTTATCAAATTTGGGAATTTGGGATTTTGAGAGTTTAGGGTTCTGGAAACTTGGAAATGTGAATATTTGGGAGTGCAAGAATTTCCTAATTTGACAATTTGAGAATATAGAAATTTAGAAATCTAGGAATTCGAGAATCTAAGAATTTGTGAATTTATCACTTGAATATTCAATCATACAGCATTTGAAAATCTACAAATTTAGTATTAGAACCCAGAGAAATTTGCAAAAGCTTACAATTTGAAATTTGTGTTTTCAAAAATTTGAGAAGTTAATAGAACCCAGTCCCGTAAATGTCCATCTTATGACTGACCAAGCCTACGTACAAAAGTGTTCCGTTAGGGTCATTTCTCTCGAACAATCTCTGAATGGACAGAGCTCAGGTTAGTTACCAGGAACTCGAGAAAATAATACGTGATGCGAATCGAAAATATTAGATTCAACGTAGAAAGTCTAGCTTCTAATGTATCTGGAGGACGCGATTTCGCAAAACGATCTTTTACGACCCCCTTTACTACCGTGCCGTACCAACTACCAACCACTCTCTCTTTAATCCCCAATTCCTTTTTATTCAAGTTAAAAACTGTAAAAAATTTATCACTTGAATTGTGACGAGTCAGAAAGTACAGCAAGAAGTTAATAACTGCCACAGAATTTTTCCCTAAAAAATTGACAAATACCTGCAATTTTATATCTGTAAAAGTTTAAACGCTTTCTGGGAATTGCAGGGTGATAAAAAGGAGGATCAAGGAACGGTTGTAAAACCAAGGCCGCAGTTGCCGGGTCTGGGTTCCTGGCCACCGCCGCTACCGACGCATCCACCCGATCACACCATACCACCATTGCCCACTCATCCTCCGTATCTTGAATTACCAACAATCTCCACGATCAAACCAGTTTCCACGTCGAAAAAACCTGGTATCGCTACGACCTGGCCAACGAAAAAACCTGCCTGGTGGCCAGGCGCTCCGACCGTGTCGACGACGACGACCAGCGAAAAACCGTCCGGAACCATTTCCGACGCCTCGCAATGCGGAGCGAAAAACGGTATCCAGGACCAGGAGCGCATCGTGGGCGGTCAGAATGCTGATCCCGGCGAGTGGCCTTGGATCGCGGCCCTCTTCAACGCAGGCAGACAATTCTGTGGTGGATCACTCATCGATGACAAACACATTCTCACCGCGGCTCATTGCGTTGCTAAGTAAGTCTCTGATGGACGCACCGCATGATAAAATTATCGGCTGGATCTTGGAGCTCTTCATCTTCAATTTTTTCCTTTCGATGACCAGGCAATTTCATTAACTGGTTGTTCAAGGCTATTTAAGGGGAATATTCTGTTTAAAATAGATTGTAAATCTGAGTGCAAGGGTGGGGTTGTAGAACTGTAGTCTTGACCAACCGTTTAATGTCGAAGAGGTCTAAATCCCTAAATTCTCAAACTTTCAAGTTACAACTACAATATCTACCTCATGTTAAAAATACTTCGTTTCTGTTTGCAGCATGAATTCGTGGGACGTAGCGAGATTAACCGTCCGTTTAGGCGACTATAATATCAAGACAAACACGGAGATCCGACACATTGAGCGACGAGTCAAGCGGGTGGTCAGACACAGGGGTTTCAATGCACGCACCCTTTACAACGACATTGCTCTGCTTACTCTCAACGAACCAGTTCCTTTCACAGACCAAATACGTCCCATCTGTCTGCCGAGTGGTTCACAACTGTATTCTGGAAAGGTTGCCACGGTGATTGGCTGGGGATCCTTAAGAGAAAGTAAGAGTCGAACATTAGCTCTAGAAGTCAAAGATTACAATACTTTATTTTTGAGAATACTAACTGTTTTATGAGAACTCTATCCAGGTGGACCACAACCAGCAATTCTTCAGGAAGTTTCGATACCCATCTGGCCCAACAGCGAGTGCAAGGTGAAATACGGCGCAGCGGCACCTGGCGGCATCGTTGATAGCTTCTTGTGCGCAGGAAGAGCTGCAAAGGATTCTTGCTCAGTTTGTATCATAACTGACAATTATATAATAATACTGATTGTAATATTAACCACACATTTTCTGAATTGTAGGGTGATAGCGGAGGACCTCTGATGGTCAACGATGGACGCTGGACGCAAGTAGGTATCGTCAGCTGGGGTATCGGATGTGGTAAAGGCCAGTATCCTGGTGTCTACACGAGAGTAACGCATTTCCTGCCCTGGATCTATAAGAATCTGAAGTAAATCGCGATAGGAGTTACGCTACTCCACTTGTTTGATAAGAAATCATTTGTCACCCCCACATTAAACGCCATTTGTTTTATACGTAAGAATAACAGCTTCCATTTCTGTAACTCCTTATCATGGATATCCATGTGATGCGATACGATTCGCTCGATTAAAACGAAAGCTGCTAAGTGATAAACGGAATCTTCACCTAGGGATAAGTAACCACGCAAGAATTATAAATTGTAATAAAATATTTTATAGTATACCATTCATATACAATTATATAAAAAATAGTTTTACAATCTAACAATTCCTTCGTTATATTGCATTACTCCTGTCATAAAGACAACGTTCAGGCAATTTTAATTAGGTTAGATGATGGGCAACTACAGTGAGTGTGGTAGATGAACGTACAGTGTAGACTCGTGGGCAATGGTGGATGGTCAATTTTACTATTTGAAAATCTGCAATTTTCATATTTAACTAACTTTTCTAAATACTTTGATCTTAAAAAATAATTTCTCTTCATCCCACATCTCACCGCTGCCCAGCACTGTGCCCGCCAGTGCCCACAAGCTCATTTCATATGCCCATCACATAGTTAGATCATCTCCTATACTACGTATCGCAGCTGCTCACGTTCAAGTGTTGCATAATGTTCCTTGCTAAAACAGAAAATACATCAACGTTTAAACATCAATATAAAATATCCCCCCTTCGTGTTATATACATTATCGTACCTTGAAAATAGCATGTATCGTAGTTATCGTCAGGTTGCGGTATAAAGGGTGGCACCGCTTTCAGCGGTTCGTCCCAAGGAAAATCCTGAAAAAGTTTCATGACTCTTACTTCTGGGGCTGAGGGACGCTCATGTTGATCCAGGGTAAGCAACGCATCTATGGCTTCCGTAGCTGCAGCTGACAAAGCTTCTTCATCTTCCGGCCAGGGGACGTCCCTCGCAAGAATATTTGCGAACACAGCCTGCGGTGTCTCGTCGTTGAATGGTGGAACACCGGTACAGAATTCGAAAAGACATACACCTAGGGCCCACCAATCTACCGCGGGACCGTGACCTTGTTTCAAAAGCAATTCTGGAGCTAGATAGTCGGGAGTCCCGAGTATGCGATCGTCCGATCGATGAGTACCGATCTGACCCCTTCTTACTGATTTTGGAGTTCTGTAAGGTGTGTAACAATTGCCCGAATTCGCTGGTGTCTTTATAGGTGATATACCATGAGGGGAACGATGTTTCGAGATATTTAACTGTATCTCTGGAGCCGAATGCGATGTGTTAACAGGTGGAAGTTGGAATCTTGTGGTTTTAATTAGAGGCACTGATTCCTCTACACATTTGTGCTCCTTCTCTTCACTGTGGCATCTCTGCTTCATGTACGACACAGGAGTGCTGAACGCCACTCTACCACCTGCCCCTTCCTGTTCTTCATTGTTGCTAACGTTGTTCGTTTGCTTGTTCGACTCGGACATGGTAGAACTGATAGGACTCCTGGAAAATATGCAACCACGATTCTTTCTTTTTGGGGTTTTATCTACATCGAGATCCATCGCGCTTATCTCACTCGTTAGGCCGGTTGTTGCCACTGCTGTAGGCCTCTTCCTCTTTGAACCCCTTGTACATGTACTCAGTGGGCTAGTGTGAAGGAGAGGTTGTTGGGATTGATCAGCCTCCAGTGTGGATTCATCTTCTTCTTCTTCTACGTTGTGATTAAGTTGGCTATTGACGCGGATTAAAGATGCCTCACATGTGTGATAACTCCCTGAACTACTCTCATCCTCATTTTCCATTATGCAATTGATCCCTATATTGATCCCTAAGCGGAGATCCTCGGCAGACTGGAAAGGAGTAACTCCTGACACGCGGGAGTAATCGCTTGATGTAGTAACAGAAGAGTATACAGAATTTGGTGACGATTGCACTTTGCTACAATTTCGTTGCAAAGCAGGGAGCAAGTTAGCACCTGGTGTGCTTCTATCACTGAGACTGGATTCGCTTCTGGATCTTTGTCCAGAACCAAAAGATAAATGAGACGTCAATGAAAGAAGTTGTCCAGGTGTTCTAGCACAGAGGCTAGGTGTACAATTTACTAAATCAGATATCTCAAGATCTCTGTGTAAGGATATTTTACTAAGCCCAAAATCTGTGAGCTTAACATGTCCTTCTTTTGATAGAAGCATGTTATCTGGCTTTAAATCTCTATGTACAATTCCATGAGAGTGAAGATATTCCAAAGCAAGGCATACTTCTGCAGTATAAAACGCTGCCATGGACTCTTCCATGTATCCATATACCCCAACTAAGCTTTTGAGATCTCCACCTACCATGTACTCCATTACTAAATAAATACTGCTAACAGACTGCAGTGAATAAAATAACTGCACACAATAAGCACTATGCGTTAAGGCCAATGCATTTCTCTCTATTATCACCTGTGAGGCCATGTTCTTATTTATCATCTCATTTTTCTTCATTACTTTAATCGCATATACTTTTTCAGGATTCGACTTTTTGTAACCAAGAAATACTTTGCCAAATGCTCCCCGACTTATGGGTTTCACGATTTTAAAATCTTGAATTTCTGGTACCTGAACATTAAACAGTATTAAATAGCAAATTTAAAATATTATAAGTACATAATTGGAAATAGAATTTACTTACCTTTGCTGCAGGGTTAACAATTTTAGATATGGTATTGAAAATGGAATTGTCAATTTGTTTGCTCGTTGACGTCTGTTGTGGAGTACATTCTCCAAATGGAATTTGACGTTCAATTTCCGAGTCACTGTGGTTTGGGCAAACATTTTCATTGTTTGTATCACAAATATGATTATTACCGTTTTGACGTGAATTTGGCGAAAGAATCACCGCTTGTTCCATTTAAAAAAATAACCTAACTAAAGGCCAAGAGAAGAATTTACGTAACGGAACGTAATATATCAAAACTCCGATTCATAAAATAATTCTATGACTCAAAAAACATGAAATTTTATTCATCGTTCATTCATGTTTTATATTTTTCTTCCACGTATTTCAAATAAACTTTAACGGCTGCCTAACATGTTTTAAAATCAACATGCATGTTAATCGATTCAAGGGCCCTTCGATTGGTCAAATAATGCAAGCAGAGAAGTATGTTGCAAGTTCGAAAAAATGAGAATGACCAACATTTATTATTTTTTACTAAATAATGTTATGTAATGCAAATCGAAGATACCAAATAACTAATAAAATTTTGATAACAGTAATAACAAAAAGCATATGTAAATTAATTGTGTATTATTTGTCATCGACGTTTTTTTTATAAAATTTTTTGTTCATAGGAACTTTTATGATTTTCATGAGATTACCCTGGAAAATTACAGTTTTCCCACTTTTAAATCTTACGCGTGCAAAGCAACACAACGGCTGGTGCATGGATTTGTTGGTCGCCAAACAGCGTACCAAACATTTACTTAAATACTAATTTGTCACTACGTTACACGTTTTGTTTTATAACAATTAAAGTTATTCTTAGTTTAGTATCTACTTATCGAGGTTATAACATATTGTATATATTGCAAACAATAAGATTTCTTAAGCTCACAATGTCTAATAAAGTTGTAAAAAGAGCACCTAAGAAAAAAGGAGCAAAGGCATATAAAATGCCTGATCCAATATCTCCTGGTGAGGTATTAACAGATTTGACAAAAAAACAATGGATTCTTGGCAAATCAATTGGTATTGGAGGTTTTGGAGAAATTTATTCTGGTATGCACTTTGATTCTGTTCAGATTATATCTTTATTTACGCTGTACTTAGCACGCATAAAAATCTTATAATTATATTAACAATTATAGCTGCTCCTTATAACGGAAAGACTCCAAAAGATTATCCCAATGTAATTAAAATTGTGAGTACTGTTAAGTATCTATATATACATAGCTATTTTATTTGAAATTTTACTAAACATTATAAAATTATAGGAACCACATGGAAACGGACCATTATTTGTAGAAATGCATTTTTATATGAGAAATGCCAAATCAGATGAAAGTGAGTTTTTATAATTGATATACCCATACTATCTCAAAAGAAAAACAAATATTACATAACTTGTTTTAGTTAATAATTGGCGAAGGCAAAAGAAACTTACAGGATTTGGTATGCCTCAATATATTGGCAGTGGAAGTCATGAATACAAGAATACAAGATACCGATTTGTAGTAATGGATCGGTATGGTACTGATTTATGGAAATTATTTGAAGCAAATAACAGAAAATTTCCAGAACATACTGTATATAAAGTAGCTTTACAAATAGTAAGACCAAACATGAAAACTTTTCATTTGTCTGCATACAACTTTTTGTTATTTACTTTTAAAATTAATTACACAATTCTAGATAAATGTACTGGAATATATCCACCACAAAACATATGTCCATGCAGATATAAAGGGAGCTAATTTGTTGTTAGACTTAAAATCTGGAGATCAAGTTTATTTAGTAGATTTTGGATTAGCTTCTCATTATACCACAAAAGGCGAATATAAATTAGATCCGAAAAAAGCACATAATGGAACTATTGAATACACTAGTAGAGATGCTCATATGGGAGGTAAAGTATTAAATAAAATTAATTGTTAATAATTATATATTAATGAATTCGCAATTACGTAAATTTATTAATTTGCAGTACCAACAATGCGTGGTGATTTTGAAATTCTGGGTTATAATATGATTCAATGGTTATGTGGTTCACTATTATGGGAAAAAAACTTATCTGATGCAGTTACAGTACAAAAGCAAAAGGAAAAAGCTTTTGAAAATATTCCAGAATTTTTAAACAAATGTTTTAATGGACCAGTGCCAAAAACAATACTTGAATACATGACCTTAGTAGCGAGTATGAAATTCAATGACACACCAAATTACGAAAAATTTAAAAAAATAATATCAGATGGATTAAAACGACTATCGCATAAACCAGATGGAAAATTAGAATTCAAAGCAGATGTTAATTCTCAGAAACAAACTCTTAAATCTACCCCACAGAAAGTAAAAAAAACAGTAGATGGAATCAAAAGAAGTCCTCGTGTACTTGCAAGAAAAAGTCTAAGTCCTGCAAAGGGTCTTGATGATAGCACAATAGGAATTGTAATGGATAAAAAACGTGGTGGTGTTAAGGATATAAAACAAATATTGAATAACATTGACTCTGACGAAGAATATGATATAAAAATAGTTAAGAAAAAGAAAAAGACAGACAATTCTATAAATAAATCTAAAGAAGAAAATACTTCAATTAAAAGTAGAAGAAGAATAAAAAGAAATTATGTTGATTCAGCTTCAGATTCTGAACCAGAGGTAACAATATGCATACATGTGTACTTGTTCTTAATATTCTAATATATACATAGTTCTAATTAATCACAATATTTGATTTTTATATAGATTGTATCAAAGGGAACAAGATCAAGACCTACTGCTCAAAAGGTAACACCTACAAGTACAAAAGGTCGTTCACGAAAACTTGTAATTCATGAAAGCGAGAATTCTGAAGACGATATGTTTGATATGTAGATTGTAAGTGTAATGTACATATTATGCATTTGGAATGCGTTCATACGCATTGGAAAATTAAATTTGGTAGAATATTGTATATTATTGTATGAAAATATGTAAAACTAACATTTGTTTCTGCGTTAATTATGCAAAATCTGTACCGTTTGCAAGTATATTTCGTCTTTGTACTGAGGAAGTTTAGAGAAAGTAATATATTTTGATACATCTACATTTTAAGTAATTGTAAATAACGTGTAAGGTTAGTAAATTACAATGTTGAGTGCTGACTGTTGAGCGGTATTAATTTTTTTATATTTGTACGAAAATAAAAATTGCCTTATGAGTATTTAATGACGATAGGAAATTCAAATTGTTAAACTATTATTATAAAGATTTGTATTCATATATAACTTGTGTATAAGTAAATGACTATATACATATAAATACGTTTTTATAACAATGCTTGGAAGTTGCACTTCAGCTATTTATTTCTTTAGTTTTTGTATTTGTGGAGCACTTATCTTAACTTTTCCAGGAATATTTCTAGCTACTAGTTCATCTTTCACAGCTTTTAGCAAGTCTTTCTCTCTTGAAGTAATTTCTTTATCTTTCATAAATACTGCCACTGCCGTTTTCGCTGCTTTCCCTCTTTTACCTGTTCCTGGTGTTAGCTTTACTTTGAATCTAAAAGAAAATAATACTTTGCAGCAATGTATATGGCAAATGCAAAACAAATAATAATTGTAACTTACTTATAATTCAATAATGTATTATAAGGTGCTACTACTGGTACTGCAAATAACAATTCATCTTCTGCAACAGGTTTTCCTGTTAACTGATCCAACATATCTACTTCAGGACCTGGGCCTGTATCTTCTTCTTCAATATTATCTACAATTTGAGTATTCTGTGGTTGAGCTGGTTTTCCTGTACCCTTTTTCTTCGTTTGTTGCTTTGGTCCAGATGGATCTTTATTTCTATTTTTTTTCTTATCTTCTTTAGCAGCACCTGCTGACTATTAACATTGTATTAATGTAACAAATTTTGTAACGATATAAATATCAGTAAACGATGAAAGATACTTACTTGTAGAACCTGCATAAATAATCTTCTATCTTCTTCATCTTGATCTTTGTACTTCTCTTTCATCTTTTTTAATCTTCCCTTTTGTCCCCGTTTTAATACTACTTGACCATCTTTTTTAGTTTCTGTTTCAGTCTTTTCTTCTTTATTCTCTTTTTTCGAAGGTTTTTGTTTAGAACTTTTTTCCTTAGCTGTAGTATTTATTATCACAGGTTTATCATCTCCTAAGTAAACCACACTCTCTAAATCTTTTTGCATTACGGTTGACGTTTGATTATTGTCAATGTGTAATTTTACTCTATAACATAATATCTTATCAGTTAATAATACGTTTACGATCTATACATTTTATTACTTACTTTGAGCCAGAAACATCAATTTTAATTTGTGTATTAGGAAATTGAGATACGTTATCATCTTCATCGCTAGAAGCCTGATTAACGTCATTCTCTTCCATAATCAATTCTGTTTTAGATTCTTCCTGAATAGGATTTAGATTAACTTTCTTTTCGGGCTGTTCATCTATTTTATTACGAAATATATATTAGAAGTCAATTTCTCTGTTCAAGATATCTTTGTGATTAACAGTTTACCTTCATCGGAATCTCCTATTAGTTCGATTTCTCGATCGTCTTCGACTATCGATTCAGTAGCTTCACTTTCATCGTCTATAACTCTAATTCTTCTTTCATCCTTGTGCCTTTCAATCGAACTTTCCTCTAATCGGAACAAAAATCCTAATCCCATAACTAATTGACATGGTGACAAATAATTCTTTTTTCCACGGATCATAAATGACCCAGTAGTTAGGTATTCACCAGTTGGAGCCGTTTTGGACACTTGATCGTTATTTACCCACCATGCTCCTGCTACTACTTTAGCATCCCATGCAATACTAATATTGCAATTAATAGTTTTTTTATCATTTAAAAATATACTTCAAAATATAAATATTTAAATACCTGTAAGCGACAGCCATCGTGCCTGCTTCAGCTAAAGTTTTTGGAGGCACAGGCCCACCACCTGGATTTTTAATTACTACAGAACTAGCACCAGTTAAATCAGCATGGACATATATATCTCCAGACTTCAAATATCTTTTTACAATTAATTCGTTCTGTTGCTGATCTCTTCCACCAATTACTACAATAACATTGTAAAATTATTAATGCGCCGATTATAAAAATACAAGTGACGTTCTAGAAAGCTTACCAAGATAATTTTCAGAGCTAATAAACCAATAAAATTTTTCAAACCAATATATCTTTCTTAATTTATTGATACTGTGAATAGCTTGTACTTCTTTTAACGTTTGTTTTGTTTTCTTTTCTGCTGATTTCAAAGCTTTATCTTGTGATTCTATTGTTTTTTGTTGTTTTTTAGCTGCTGATCTCTTTTGATTATAATATTTTCTAGCATTTCCAAAAGCTGTGTGGGCTAAATCAATATCAATCAACATAGGTTTCAACTCTGATTCTTCATCACTTTCTTCATAAGGGTCATGTAACAATAGAGAAATATGATTCGTATCCAATTTCAGTTGCTTAATTGCAGATGCAACAGGATCTCCTCTGCTCTCTGCTTCTTTCAAAAGAATTTTTATATCAGGCCAAGCCATTTGATTTGCAAGGGCACTTTGTATAGCTAATATTGCATTATCCACTAACATTTGGTTTCTAGAAATTAATTCTGCTTTCTGTTTATCTAATTCTTGAGTTTTCTCTAATGTAATTAATCTCTGGTCATGATCTTTCTTTACATTGTCCAATTTCTTAAGAGCTTCACGTTCCTGTTGCAAGACTTTCATATCTAATTTTTGACCTTCCATTGTAGAAAAGTATTCATCCACACTAGCATCAAAAGAATCAAATTCTTTGAATGGATAATCTTTATATTGTTCAAACAAGTAAGGATGAAATTCTATATTGGTATATATGAACTCTTCTGTACCATCTACCACTGGTTTTACTTCTTTTTTTTGTATAATATATCCTTTAGACACATTTTTCTTAGCAGTTTCCATCATTTCATCTGCACATTGTAATGCCGAAATTAAATTTGGCATATGTTCTACAATGTTAAAATCTTTGCCAATTTTGCACCCAAGTGAAAATCCATGTTTCAATAAAACATGATCAATCACCGCTGAACCAAATTCTAGAAGTGGATTTAATATTTTTTTAAGACTTTCTCCTGCTTTAGCATTCTGAAGATGATTTTGAATTTCTTCTATGGGAGGCATTGTATTTTGATGAGCTCGATCCATAGGATATTTCTGCTTAACAGCAAACCTAATCAGATATTTTTTGTATATCTTTATAATTATGTATGTTAAATGTTCCATTTGAATTTATGTTTGAGGAGAAGTTGTATAACATACCTGATTTTATCTCCCTCTGTGTGAGGTCTTAAAATATTTAGTATAGTCATTTCATGATCTGTCAAAACTATATTACCACGATCATACAGTTCTAAAATTACGTGATATGCTGCCTCGCCACTTCCAAACTGCAAATCTATTATTCGATCTACTCCTACTTGAGTAAGGCTTTCAAGCCGCTTATTTTTAAGATGTTTACGCATCTGCACAAGTAATATTTCAGTAAATACATTACATTCAACTTTAAATATGAAGTGTGAAGCGTAGAAAAAATAATTAAATTACCCACTTTCATAGAAAATCCTGATGGTGCTACATTTTTTGGCCATTCAAATACCGTCGTATGAATTCTATTACCAGATTCTAGTAAAAGAACAGATTTTTCTTCGCTTCTTTGAAGACGTATGAGATATGTTCGATGATCAATGTCATAAATTTGATTTACACGCATACCAATTAGCCTGAAGATTGAAATTATCAGTATATATAAATATATTAGATTAATTATGTTACTTAAAACTCATTTTAAAAATTAATAAACTGTAATCGTTATATTATTCTAACCTTAAATTAAAAGATCATATTGATACCATATATTTTATTATTCACTTACTTTTGCAATTCAGTTATCGTGCAAACGATATCGTAAGAATTAAATCGGGTCTTCATGATTGTGAATGTGTTATTTAATAATGTTTAAAACTTGAATTATTGAAAAGTTAGTTTTATCGTACACAGGTAACACATTGCATTCACGCTGCGCAGCGCGACTCACATCGTCTGACATCTACATATTTCAATCGCAGTACATGTATACATACATCATATATTACATTTAGTATTCAATAAAAGTATAAAAAAAATTCTTTATTTATAATTGAATCTTAATTGAAATTATTGATATCTTAACTACTTAAAATGAAGATTTGTGTCTTCTTTAATACAAATACATTGTACAATGAAATAGGATTCAAAATGGATATATTAATATTACAAAAACTTGTTTTTAAATTTTTTTATTCAATAAAATGAATAAAGTGTGAAATTTGTAAATTAACGGTAAGATTTCTGGTAGCGTGCCCTGGCACCTGGACCACCAAACTTCTTTGGCTCGCACCGCCTTGGGTCAGCAACCAAAAGTGTACGATCATACTGAATTAGAATATCTTTTACTTCCTTTTTACTTGCTTCGTCGACATCTGAAAACAGACAGATTAAATGTGAATAGAATTGTATATATAATTCTACAAATTTGCATCCTCTATTTATACTTACATTTTTGATAGTATGCTACAAGAGCTTTAGAAATAGCTTGACGAATAGCATATATTTGGGCAACGTGACCACCACCGCTTACTCTTACCCTGATGTCAACTCCAGAGAACTTTTCCTACATAAGAAACAAAGGAAACTGGATTATTAAAATAGCTTCTTTTAACAAATATCACACAATGTGTTTCCTCAGTGTCTCTGTTTCTAATCACAAATAATCATGTTCGGAATAAGGGAACATCATACATGAATTTTAACAAAACATGAAAAACAATACAGAATGGAATTTCTGTTCCACAATTACTGGGTAGGACTTACCTTGCCAAGTAACAAAATTGGTTCTTGTAATTTATACTGTAACACACGAGGTTCTACCAATTCCAACGGCCGTCCATTTACACGGAGATTTCCACGGCCCCGTTTACAGTAAGCAACCGCCGTTGCACTTTTCTGTAAATATAAATGTACACATTTGTAGGAACACGCGCAAACATAACCTAAAATAACTTTGAATAATTAACACTCACTTTGCGTCCGAAGACTTGCACGGACTGAATAGGTTCCTTTTGTTTCTGAAAAGAAATTACATGTCAATATGACGTGAAAAATATGTATTTATTTTTCATAGAGCACACAAAACCTTTACAATTCGTCTAATAAGAAACATACCTTCTGCATTTTGGAAACCACGTCGTGGAAAGGAAGTTCAACGATGGCGGTGCGATGTTTTCGACCGTAACACTGCGGTGGTCAAATGCAAGCATTTATCTAACTTCCGTTTACTGGCGCAAAGTACAAATGCGAAAGGCTCAACTTTAATTTGAGAAATTAAAATAATTAGAAGCAAATTTACGGAGAAAAATGGGACACGAGTTTAATTAATCTTTAGTCTGTCATATAATCTCATTATTTGTGATATAGAATAACTGTAAAAACGAGCATAAATATTTTATTCTAAACTGTTAATTTTTTCAGGTATGGTGGATCACAAAAATATTAGCACACAGATTCTTGCTAGTGTCGTGACTACAATTTAATAAATTGAGGAGATCCAAGACTAACGTATTAATAATGTAGCAAGTATTGTGAATCCTCTATTAACTTTTCCGAAAAAAAACAATTTGAAGATTCAGTAATAATTTATATGTATTATACTAAATAAATATTTTTTTCATGTTCAGCGTTGTCGGCGGCCATTTTTGTACATGTAAGGTATACAAATATAAGTCAAGGTATTTTCAAAATAATATTTTATTACAATCTATGTATAAAGTGCATGTAAATAGTACATTGTATTTCGACATAACAGTTCAAGTGTTTCGACAATTCCAAAAATTTAACAACCAGGTACTAAGTATCGGTAATTGCAGGTATTTGTCTTCGGGTCAAAAACAGTTCCAGCACTACACCGGAATTCGTACGCCACGTAATGATCGACTACTTTTATACACTGATAAAAGCGTGTACAGTCACTAGGATGTCGAGCGAAGCCTTCTTTCGTACATATATTGTCCGATGGCGAAGGTATGGTGGCCTCGCCTGGCTTTGAGGTGGTTACAGGAGGAAACGTTGGAACTGGAGTATTTCCTCTTAAATCCTTGTTCAGAGCCACCAGTAGAGGGTACTGTGAACCGCAACTACCGCTGAAGTCGTCGGTTTCGATACTCCATACCATAGCACCTCCCAGATTTTTGGAATTGATGTATGCAGCCTTAACAGCGATAGACCTGAAAATAACCGACACACACTTATTATATTATTTCCAATTTTTACTTTCATATCTGAACTATAGAATGTATCAAGTATATTTTTCTAAAAAAATCATATTTTATGAAAAGAGTAATAGGAGCATTGGTCACATTTAAATTGACTGTACCTTCTGTACCTTCAATCAATTCTAATAATCTATATACACTCTAGATTGCGTAGATGATTAAGAAATACTCACTCAACGTCATCATATCCGACCCACTGGTCGCCGTTAAAAGCGTAAGGTGTTTTATCTGCATCGGAACGCCTAACGGTCCAGCCCTGTTTAACGTACTGGCAGATTTCATTATAACCAAGCATTCCTGCCTCTCTTGTGTAGGGTCCAGCCGTTCCAGCACCTCTTGCTGGAGCACCTATACCTGTATTGCTGGGATTCGATAAGGTGAAGGATCTTCCGTAAGCGGGAATACCAAGGATGATCTTGTCAGCGGGCGCGCCTTGAGAGAGCCAGTAACCGACAGCCGCATCCTGAAATTTTTCGTATCAAGATTAATGCAACATTCTCCTTCTAGAGAAGACTATCATTATACCTACCGCACAGTCTTTTGAAGACGAGTACAAAGGTGCGTTCAGTCCCGTATGTCTATTCCATGACCCATTGAAGTCGTACGTCATCAGATTAATGAAATGAACGTATTGAGCTACTTGTGAAATTATGTACGATTTAGCAGCCGATGACTGGGCTGCTGCGCTCGCTATGCTAAGAAGGAAGCCATGCTTGTCGAACTCTTGTCTCAATTCCCTCAGCAAAGCGACGAAGTTCTGCTTGTCGGCCGCTTGACCACCTCGCTGGTTCGGATATTCCCAATCAAGGTCGAAACCATCGAAGTTATATTGCTGCAGGAACTGAACCACGTTCCGAACGAATTTAGCGCGGGTTGCTGGATTACTAGCAACTTGCGAGTACTTGATGGAGCCCTCGTTCCAACCACCCATCGCGATCATAATCTTCGAATCTGGACTCGCCTGTCGGAGTCTGGTAAACTTCCCAAAGCCATCTTTACCGTCAGGTAAATCCATCCACGCATCTAATATCTGGACATCACCCTCGGTACTAACACCGATAAAAGTGTAGATCAGATGTGTACATAATTTCGGTTCGATTTCAGAAACCTCGAATTTCCCTTTGCCAGGACGATACGCAGCCCAGCTGCCATAGTAGCAAACGATCTTTCCTGGATAGATCATAGAAAATTTTATCATGAATCAGATAGTTGATCTTGTAATCGATGTACCGTCCTAATCAGAGTGTGATCACATATCTTGTAACAATCTTACGATATTAACCTTCTAGTATAGATAACGATATAATTTTTGGATTAAGGACAGGTTACATTACGTTTAATGGTTTTATCAGCGGTAATCTGATACTTACTGTCTGCAATAGCGCTTGTGGCGATGAACACCAGAAAAGACACAAGATATACTATCTTGATCATCTGTAAACAATGAAAGAAAAAATCTTTGACAAATATTAAAAACCGTGACCCTTTCTTTTGTGAGCTGTGCCGATTGATAAAAATGATCGATCGTTCAAATTAATAAGTGTGCCACTACATACATCTTTTTTATAACACTTTTCACAATTTATAATTGTAGTGATTAATGAAAGACGTAAAAAGGGTGTGTAATATTAGCTGAAATTGAGAGATCTGTGGCTAACTTTTAATATTGCTTTTTGAAGGAAAATGTAGTTATAACTAGTAGTTAATTTTAAAACAAATAGGAACATTTGTTAGTAATTACAGTATTTTTATCTCTTCATTTGACTGTCAAATAATGTCAGAAAAGTAGCACTACTTATTCAATTTCTTGCTTATGCACTACTCCAATTTTTGTTCAACAAAAACTCGCTTTCTTAAAAAAAATAAATCAAAAGTATAGAATAATATTTTGTTACACTACACTACTTTCAAACTTCCTCTCCAAGAGAATTGACAATTGTATTCTATATTTTCTAAGTATTTAACTCTTCGTATTAGTAAAATTGTTCACGTTGTTTAGAATATCAAAGACCGTAAATCACATTTACTTTTCGAATATCTTTTTAACTTCTGAGTTGTCACAGGTGCATGCAAGAAACTTAAACCATGCGTAACTTATGCGTCACGAATTGTAAACGCGCGGAATGATACCAAACGATAACGAACGATAATTTATAGTAAATCGAATGAAAATGATTAAATGAAACATGAGGAAAGATGTTATATTGCAGGAGAAAGAGTCATGAAATCGAAATATCTATTGTATAACAGTAGAGTTAAATATTACTTAATTAATCGCGAATTTGATGGATTGAGGATTACGAATAATTAACGATTACCTGTATCAAAATTGTAGATTTGAATCCAACTTGAACACTGTTAGCGGGTTACAATAGGTCAGGCGTGTCGCTGGTTCCTAACTGGACTGGCTATCTTTAAATCGTTTATCGTGCATCGGATACTGATATTGAACTATTCTATTTTTTCACAGGTGTACTTAACCCAGACCTTTATATAGTAAATTCGTGTCTTCCGATTGCAAACAGAACACGTCATTAAAGCTGGTTTTATTATCATGTTTTTTTTTCTTCTTGATATGCTATCTAAATATCTATTTATCAAATACATTGGAAAGAAATATGTATTTGGCTTAGTCAAACATATATATAACTATTTAGTTTCATATAGAATAAAATTACTATTGAATAAAGTGCTGATGAAAGTAATGATAATAGTAGGATTACTATTTGTCTTCAACGCGGCAATCTTCATTTGTCGGAACTGGAATCAAAGCTTCCAAGTATTTTGTCGAAGACTTGTCGCAATATTTGTTAGTTAAATATTGCTTATCGGTTGATTCAGAAAAATTCAATGAAATGTTTTTTGGTAGCTTATAGTGAAGATTTCACTGAGATTTTCAGAGATTACAAGTACAAATAATTTCCCAGTTATAAGAGGGAAGATAAATTAACCCACTGCACTATAATTTATTTGACAGGCGAGCATGACTATTAGTCGAGTATAACTATTACCACAATGTGAAAACAATGATAAATAAAAAGAAGTAGAATGTTATGCTTATTTTGTATTCTTGACTTTGCAAATTATAGCTGAAATTTCAAACGCATTGAAAGCATAAGTGATTCATGGACGTAACTTGTCATTTTTAATACAAGGATTTAAACATGATTTACCAGGAATCTCAGGAATCATGCCATAACCCCGAAAAATCCTCCTTTCTTCATATTCTTGGTATTTGTTTGTAAAAATATAAATGGATTACATGGAATACAATTTTATTATACGTGGCTCTTGGGAGATTAAATTAAATGTCTCCAAATATTTACAAACATGTTTATTTTTTGGCAAGATTTATGACGGTTAATTTTGAATTTAACTGAACATTATTGCAACACGTGGACCAAAATTGCAAAATTGCTAGATCGTAAAGGTGTAAAATTATAAAATTACGAACTCGCAATAACGATAGAGATCTGAGAGGATAAGGATTTAGGAGGAAAAAGAAGTATCTAAGTAGATAAAGATTTAAGCGGATAGAGATCTAGAAGGATAAGAATCTAGAAAGATATCTTGGTGGATATTTAGAAAGATAAGGAACTAAGAATTTAGAAATCTGAGGAAAAATGTAGAGTTTTGGACATTTGAAGTTCTACAAATCTAGAGACCTAGAGACTAGTGATCTTAAATAGTACAAATAGTATACCTCCATTTAACATACACATTTCGCTTTTACTAAATACACATGTCCATGTGTATGTGCATATTATCTGAACAGTATTTAAGTGGGGTCGAAATTGTATACTCTGAATCACATGTTTATGGTTAATGAAATTCTTATAATTTCTTATGTATTTAATGATATATTATCTTTATAATTATACAAGGAATTTCCCGAATTGCATATTTGCAGTTCAACGCAATACACGAAGATAAAAATACATTTCAGAAATTAACAAACATAAAAGTTTTAATATACAGTTACAATACAATAATACATACTAATAATTAGTTTATATATAACAAATAAAATGAATGTATAGACGGGTACACAGATATTAAATCCGAACTTCATCCATTTAAAACACTATTCACAGTTCTCAACAAAGGATATCTCGGTCCGCAACTTCCACTGAAGTCATCGGTATCGATGCTCCATAACATAGCACCCCCAAGGCCTTTAATGTTAATGTACGTAGCCTTTTTGCGAACAGAGCTGAAAATAATCATAGTCTTATAATTACGTTCATTCACAATCGTTACTTTCGTACATTGTTGACACTCACATAACGTCATCGTATCCGACCCACTGGTCGCTGTTAAAAGCGTAAGGTGTTTTATCTGCATCGGAACGCCTAACGATCCAGCCCTTTTTAATATACTCGCAGATTTCGTTATAACCAAGCATTCCTGCCTCTCTTGTGTAGGGTCCAGCCGTTCCAGCACCTCTTGCTGGAGCACCTATATCTGTATTGCTGGGATTCGATAAGGTGAAGGATCTTCCGTAAGCGGGAATACCAAGGATGATCTTGTCAGCGGGCGCGCCTTGGGAGAGCCAGTAACAGACAGCCGCATCCTGAAATAACGTTTTTCGTATCAAGATTAATGCAACATTCTCCTTCTAGAGAAGACTATCACTGTACCTACCGCACAGTCTTTTGAAGACGAGTACAAAGGTGCGTTCAGTCCCGTATGTCTGTTCCATGACCCATTGAAGTCGTACGTCATCAGATTAATGAAATGAACGTATTGAGCTACTTGTGAAATTATGTACGATTTAGCAGCCGATGACTGGGCTGCTGCGCTCGCTATGCTAAGAAGGAAGCCATGCTTGTCGAACTCTTGTCTCAATTCCCTCAGCAAAGCGACGAAGTTCTGCTTGTCGGCCGCTTGACCACCTCGCTGGTTCGGATATTCCCAGTCAAGGTCGAAACCATCGAAGTTATATTGCTTCAGGAACTTGACCACGTTCCGAACGAATTTAGCACGGGTTGCAGGATTACTAGCAACTTGCGAGAACGTGCTGGAGGACTCGTTCCAACCACCCATCGCGACCATGATTTTTGTGTTTGGACTCGACTGACGGAGTCTGGTAAATTTCCCAAAGCCATCTTTGCCATCAGGTAGATCCAACCAATTATCTACCACACGGACATCGCCGTCGGCGGTGATACCGGTAAAGGCGTAGATGAGGTGTGTACATAGTGTCGGGTCGATATCAGAGACCTCGCATTTTCCCTTGTCAGGACGATAAGCAGCCCAGCTACCATAGTAGCAAACGACCTTTTCTATGAAGACAAGAGAAAATAATTAATTTTATAATATGTGTATCTTCGTAATCTATAAATAATTAAATATTGTAAAAATTGGAATTTTGTATTTAGTGTAGATTCAATTTAAACAGAAGCACAGCTGCAAACATTCAAGGTGTACATCGCGGAAGAATATATGTACTTCAGTTTGAAAGTACTAAGTTAGGCTGTGGTTAAGTTAGTACTTACTTTTTGTCATAGCGCTTATACCGACAGATACTAGAATAGTTACCTTAAACATTTAAAAATGAAATAGCGATTATTGCTGCATTTCTGCTTTTCGTAGATTATTTTAATATTTTTAAACTAAAACACTTAACAAATTGTAAAGAAGGAATTCAACACTTACTTTTTTTACAATTATGCAATTTTTTACTTTAGTTGGAACATTCGTTCTATTCTCACTAAAGTCACTCAGTCGATTTTATGTACTGATCTGGTATCAGTTATGTGTCATAATACCTCGTATAAGTTAATCTTATCAAAAGCAAAGATTTTGTAAAATAAAACTTTTAGTTTCTCTTTAGAAAATTAAAATCGAGAAGCGTTCAAAATATTCTATATTTTCAATTTCTTTGTTGGTGACTTTCATTTGTTAGAAAGCGATGATTCAAAGCAGAGCGATGATCATATCTGAATATAGTATCGGCGTACCTGAGAGCGAAGAAAAAGAAGAAATATCAAAAACAGATGATGATGCGATAAATGTACCAGATCAAAACAATATTATACTCGCTTCTGTTTATACGTTTATAAAATAAAATAGTATATCAATAATATAACAATTTATATTAAATCAAAGCTCTTACTTATATTCGTTTCCGGTCGTAATAATCTCATGCGTATAAATTTTGTTGTTCAAATTGATTTCGTTTGTTTAGTGGGCAACTTGATCAGTTATTACCTTTAATACATATAAATGTAACCTTTTTAATATTATCCTGAATATTATAAAAAGTTTTTTGCATAATAAATCATGAAACTTTCGGCTTCATGATCATCCGAACTGCGCATGCGCGTTACCACAGACTGTAAAGTGTATAGAACCAAACTTAGTTAATATGCGCAAGAAAAATGACACCTTCTTTCTTTTGTGGAACAGAATACATCTACGTGTAAAATTTTATTTACATTTACAATTCATTGTACATAAAATGAATTAATATTATTTAGTATTATGGTATTAATGGAAAATAAAATGATTATGATCTAGATCATTGGTACATATTTTAAAGTCTACGATGCGCTATCATTTTGTTACGTCTTTTAATAGCTTCTCTACGCATTCTTCTCCAATATTGTTTTGTATTTGGATCTAACTCTGACAATTCTACTTTTGTAGTCCTTAAACTCCATAACCATTCTGGATATTGATCATCAGGTTTTAGTGGTACCTCTTCTCCTTCTTTATAATAATTTAATCCGCACACATGAGTTAACAATTTGTTAACATCCTTTTCAACTGGGATTCGTAGTTTTTCTGATTTACCTCCTTTCTTTACCTTCAGTGCTGAAAAAAAGATAATGTGTACAAAAATATTTTCTGGAGTATATTTGGCGTGAGCTTAAAATTGATTTAAGTAATTGTTATATTTCATAGAATTTTATACTTAATATATCAGATAGCATTATTATGAACGATAATAGTATCACTCCTTTTTATAATTGGTAGATTAAAAAAGGAAAACAATAATAAATTTCATGAATCCAGAAAGATACAAAACATAATATAACCTATACACGCATAAAAATACAATGTTACTCTTGGATTATAGATTAATTCAATTGAAATTTATTACCTGCAGTCCCAGCTTTAGGAACTGTCGCATACTGTGCCGAAATAACATAATTTGTCCTTAAGAAAGACAGTCGCAAAACAGAAAAAATAGACATCCTTATTTATTATAACCAACAAATTTCAAATTTGATTTCACAAAAGAATGGTACTATCAGATGGTAAATTTTTGTTCCTTTTGCGCAAGTTAATTCCGATTGGTTTTAACGTACTCCAAGTATAATATACTTGTTGAAGTTTCGATGTTTAGTAAATTCTAACTCAAAAGTTAGTATTTAATTCAGAATATTATTATTTCAATCATTATAATTCTTAGAATTTTGTAATTTATTTATACATGGTATACGTAGTTATTATATGAAGCGGTACTTTCAAACATTGACAACGGTAGAGGTATTGAATGCGCAACGACAAACAATAAAATAAGTTTTATATTCGAGTTATACTATTACAATTTTATCAAAAAGTTTACGATGCGTAATATGTTATAAATGTATCAGCATCGTTTTAAATGATTATAATAGAATTTTCGAATCTGTGGGATGATGTATTAATTATTATTTCGTGTTTTTATTATGTAATGCCAGAGAGTAGCGATAGATCAACGCGGGTACGTTTAATTCTTTTGTAAATTATTAAAATAAATGTCATCTACTCTTTCTAGTTTTATATATATTATAATTTATTTAATACCGTAGACAAAGTCAGTAGCTATTGGTATAAACGGAATAAAAGGAAGATCAACAAAAAGTCGATCAAATAATCAAGAGGATCACTTCCTAACAATTGCACCCGCTTTGCCTATTTTACCGGGAGCACCAGTACCTCCAAAATTATCTAAACGTTGTTATAATTCATTTAGGTATTAATAAATAATATAAATTAATGCATATTTTCATATTAAATAAATAATTAAAATTTGTTCCTATTTCATATAGAAATACTATTATATATTTAAGAGTTACATATTTCTTAGGAATTAACTAATTTTGTTTTAATATATTTTCTTATGTAGCTTAGCAGATTCTCCATTTAACATAGAACATGACAAAGTCGAAGGTTCTAACACAGTTACATTACAATGGTCAAGTGAAGGAAAAAATATTGTGGCAACAAGAACTGCTGCAGAGAAAGAAAAAAATCCAGATAGGATATGTCTTGACAGACGAGGTCTTACTACGTTTCCAAATATAGTTGGAGAGCCACGTTTACGTTTATTGTCTCTTCAACATAATCTTTTAACAAAGATTGAGAATAGCAATTTCTCTAAGTTAACAAAATTAGTATTTCTTGACTTGTATGATAATCAGATAGAAAGGATTTGTAATTTTGAATTATTAGAAAATTTAAGAGTATTATTAATTGGAAAAAATAGAATTAAAAAGATCGAAGGGCTGAAGTCGCTTTCTAAGTTAGAAGTTTTAGATCTTCATGGCAATCAGATTGTACAAATTTCAGATTTAAATAATCTGGTGTCTTTAAAAGTTCTTAACTTAGCTGGGAATAATATCAAAGTAATAGGCTACAATGATTTTCAAGGGTTAACAGCTCTGAAAGAGTTAAACCTAAGACGTAATAAAATAAAAAGATTATTAGCTTTTGATGAAACCCCACAGTTACAGAAACTATATTTAAGTAATAATGATATTCATAAGTAAGTATCCCATTAATTCATATTTATAGATAACTTCTCACTTATTAATAAATTATATTTTAGAATTGAAGACATAGGCAGTCTTGCAAAAGCGTTACAACTTAGAGAAATAACAATTGATGGGAACCCTGTAACATTAACCGGAGACTATGTTTCTTTCCTTGTATCATATTTACCACATTTACAGCTTTTATCAACTATGCCAATTACTGAACAAACTCGAAGAGCTGCTATGGCCTGGAGGACAACAAAAGAACAAAGTAATTCTACTTTTTTAAATCTTACTGCACAAGTTTGTATGAATGTTCGACGAGAAGAGATAATATCAAATGCTAAAACAAATTGGGAATTTCTTAGATGTCATACTAAATCCTCCACAGATAAAAGTAACAATGAAAACAACGTTCGACCCAATATGTTAAAAATTCAAAAATCGAATAAATTTAATATGCTGAGACCTCAGAACTTAGAAAAAGTAAAAGCAAAAGATTTCGGAAGTTTAACATCTATAAATGAAAATATAGAAGCGACGAAAATAAATATTAAAAAAAGGAGTAATTCTAGCGATAATTTATTCCGTTTAAAAGACACAACTAAAACCTATCCATTAGAATTTAAACTACCGCCTATTTTAGGTTCAATTGTAGATAATTTAATCAATACTAAATTTGATGACAAAATAATTATAAGCAATGAAAATCTAACAAAAGCAAGGACCGGAAACGATACTGACAGCACAGCGAGTAGCGATTCAGAAATTTTTAAATGCCATGAAAATTTCAAGAGTTGTTTGAAACCTCACATGATAGACTCTGTTAATCATATTTCTCAAAATAATATTGACAAGTTTCTAACTAATGAGATTGATCCAGCGGATCTTCTTTCATCTGCATTAGAAATTGCTGCTGATATTAATGAAAATGAAAATTGCACATTATTCAAATCTTCTCCATTATCAATAAATGAGAAGCAAATTTCAAAATTTCATAATCAACATATTATGAGTGATTGTCAATCAAAATCAAGCATCGGTTCCTCTGGATACTGTTCTTTAAGTTCCAAAACCAACAGTATGGATAGTTGTAAATCGGTATTAAGTGATTCCAGTACATCATCTGTTGCTAGAAGTGTATTGCAGAAGCATAAAACTTTAGAGAAAGATAGAAATAGAGTCAAGAGTGCTCAAATAAAGAAAGTAGTGTATTATAAAAGTAATCGAGCAGCAACTGCTAGAGCTAAATATAGAGCTATAGCACCACCAAATCCAACTCCTGTACAAAATCTATCAAAAGAAAGAGAACAAGGTGTGTTGTATAGTATAATTTATTATATTTTTTCATTACAGTATACTTGATGTATGTTCTCTGTACTCAATATAGAAATATAATATTTTTGTTGATCAATTCTCATAGGAGGAGACTATTTGATAGAAATAGTTGGTCGATGTTTAAACATTTATGGCCAAGGTGCATTACGTTTTATTGACCGACCATGGGATTCTTCAAAAGCTGAAGATGTTAATGTAATTAAATTTAATTATGTACAGTTTAATGATGTGGCCAAAGTTTTATGTAAAATAAAAAATAGATTTCCGAACATAGAACATTTTATGTTTAAAGAAACTAATATTACATATCTTGGGCAGCTTAATGCTTTAGCTGAAGCACAAGGGTTAACAAGTATTCATTTAGAAACAGGAAATCCAATTCTATCAAAAGATTGGAAAGTTTATGCTATATTTCGCTTGGCCCATTGGGGCCTCAAAGTTATTAATGGAAAAGAAGTAAATATTTTATATCAAATGATGTTCATAAAATATCTTTACTAAAAAATTACATGTAGAGAGAAGTTTTCATGTATTAAGATATTAACTTTATATACAGATTACTAATGCAGAAGTTGACTTTGCAAACAAAGAATATGCTGGTCTTGTTGATATTGTAATGTGTTCATTACCTGAATCTTTGTTACAACCTTTATTGCAAAGACTTCAATTAGAAAAAGTTCAAAAACAAAATGGAGAACAAATTACTGCCAAACAATTTTTACTTAACAGTGATCCAGCTCTTAGAAGCGTCGTTGCTAAAGAGGCATTACAGTGGAGAAAAGGAAGTATAACACAGGTAATAAAATAATAATATAATCTTCTATAGATTTGTAGTTTCAACTACTCATTTTCTATTTTTGCTCTCTTTCTGCTAAAATTGCAGGAAGATCTTATTTGGAGACACAAAGGAAAAATACATCTACTAAATCTAATAAATCTCACTGTGGATGCAATACAAAAGTTACAGTTACTTGAAAATACATGGCCAAGTATTTTATACGAAATAATTCACTCTACTTTATCCGATTTTTCTGATATGGATACATATATGAAACGTTGTTTCAAAACACTTGAAGATGATAAATGATAATTAGTTTACTTCGTATAAATACAGTTTAAAATTAGCAAATTCTATATACCAATTGATATTGTATAAGTATTCAATTTTTGATTAATAATTGTTAAGTACAATTACAAGATAATGTTATCTTTTATGAATTTGTATATTTATGTAGCTTGTATGAATTCGCATATGTGTTCATATGTATTTTGTTAATGTTTAATTATAGAACATGATCTATACACTTGTTGTTTAAAATAATTTCGACTACAAATTAAAGTGCGGTATCAAGACTTATATACAATTTATTTATGATTACGTGATAGTTAAGTTTACAGCAGTAATACATAATAATCTAACGCACTTTAAAAAATGTTTACAATATTAATCTGCATTTCATAAAAAAAAGGTTAATTGGCACTTTAAGCTACTGAAAAATTCTTGTACATCTTATGTTTAATTCTTTTATTCTATAAGTTAGGTCGAACGAATAAGGATGAATACTATTTACAATAGCAATGAAATGCAATCACGTAAAAAAGAATTCATTTCTTTCATATCATTTCGTTCCAATGATAGATTCCACGCTAAAAGAAATCGTCGATTTCTTCTCCATGCAAGATCCATTCTTGGATGTAGAAATATCATCGCGATCCGTGGAAGCGAAATTGTTGAAATTCTTTTTCACCTTACGGGGTTCTGCGACATGTTCAAACCACGGAATCGAGGAATACATCGAAGGAAAGGGCTGTATCTTCTTCGAACTCTCAGGTTCTTGATTATATTCCTGATTGTGTGATAAACCATTCAGTAACGGAGGATCTGCGGTAACTGAAACGAGAGAACATTGTCAGTCTACAAAATTACAAATTACTGTAATAAATTGCAAAAATGGTTAATACTGATAGAAGAAATAGAATTGTGGATGTTGTAAATGAAGCGGGTAATGATTATAAAACATCACATGCAGATAATTGAAGAAATATTAAAATACAATTCTTTGAAACATTGTATACATTAACAACAGCTGACACCACACGGACGTTACTCTTTTACGATTTCCCATAAAGCAAATTTCCTCCTAACAGTAACAAGTATAAATATAAATTTAAACAATGTAACTTTTACTGCATTTTACAACTGACACATACAAATAAAAAAAATAGAGGTAACAAAATTTTATACAATTTTAAAATGAATATAAACATTATTTTAGCGGTATGTTCTTCCAGGATTAATCAAGGTTGCACTGGATCATACTACAGTAGACTCTTGCTATATTGCCATGAACAGGAGTATAACACCAGAAAATTGCCGGAGGTAGCAACATGTAGATTAAAAAGTTTTCTTCTTTAATACTTGAGACACCTATATAACGTGATACGTTGTACAGCGCGCAACCCTATAACAGCGATATACCGCGTACAGAATACTAACATGCTGTAGGTAAGCCGTGAATAGTCTTTAATCCGTAGAAACCTTGCGTTACGCTGATGCTAGTTTGCGTGAAGTGTAACTGATGACGTTGAAAGTTCTTCGTTCTTCTGCACACAGGTTGATCATTTTTAATCAAGTACGGCGGACTGGTTGTATCCATTGGCGTGTGACAGACAGTCGAGACATTATCACCGAAGTAATTACCATGAGCCTGTTGCTGTCTTCTTAGGGCAACTTGCGCAGCCATCACCCGCTGTCTTTCGACCACTAACAAACAACAAGGACAACGGCAGTCCTTCCATGCGCAGGACCTCTTGTGGCCCTTCAAACCGGAAATCACACCGTGGTTCCTGCATCTCGCGCACTTTGGACTACGCAGACGTTGCTCGATACCCGAAGTCATTTGGCTTGAGTTGCCGTTTTCGGTCTTCATTCTGAATCTTCTAGCTTGATTTCTCGGTTCACTAATCAATTAGTCTCAATGTAACATTTTGCAACGAGTTACATGCTTGTGTTATTAAAAGATCACTATAGCTTCCGAAATCACTTGTTGACAGAAGTATGTCTTTCAAATTATTATTCTTTCACCAAACTTGCGAAACACCCTAATTGTTCCCTCCTTTCCAGTTTGCGAGACTATCGGACGAAGCGATCGGCGTTCACCGTTGAATGAGTTATATACACAGAGGAATCTTTTTCCTTCGTCAAAGGAGGTGTATCCTCGTCTCCTCCTACCGATTCAAAATGTATTTTTAGAGAAGAAACACGTTCGGATTGGTTCGAAACGCAAACAAACTCCGCCACGGTTCTGGACCAACAGCCAATCGAGGCTGGCTTGCATCTCGATGCTCTTATTACCATCAACTTGTATCATCTCGAGAAAAAGCCGAGGATCTTCGTTAAATGGGAACGACTTCTTTAATTACAGCCCCCGCGTAATGGGACCGTGTCGGTCTTTCTCGGACAAACAGAGAGTCCTTTACGCGAAACCAGAAGATTTATCGAGCATAATTCCTCGACAGTGTACTGATTGAAAAAGGTCAAATTACATCAATTTATTAGCTGGACCGAATTAAGAAGTCAGTTCTTAACGTTGTGAAAAAATCATTGCTTCTTTGACACACCGATTGTTACATTGTGCTTTAAAAATTTAGATAATATTGTTATTTTTAACGCATCTCATATATTTGACAATATTTTTAGAGATAAAGTAATTCAGAAATATTTTGACATAAGATGTACAGTGTTATAGTTAGTTTTGACATCACTTTTATAATAGAAATGATGAATAATTAATTAACTGAATTAATTGGTAAAGAAAGTTGTTGTGATAAAGTAAGAATCATGTCTTCAATATCGTCAACTCTTTCAGGAGGAACGTAGGTGTTCCAGCTAACTTCACTCTCCTTTGAAATGTAAACCGACATGCCGTTTCCTCCCCGTTGGAAGAGTATATAAGATTTTTATCCGAAACAAGGGAAGAACATAACATTCGAAGTGTCTAGCACTAAAAGCTACCGGTTTGAAAAGAACACTCATACGTTAAGAAAACATACTCGAAACTAATATTAACTGTGCGTTGGCAACATCCGAGAGGATCGTATTAACGAGCTCTTAGAGCAAGATCACAGAAAGAATGCCATGTGGCCGCAGCTGGCGTTCGGTACCGTTGTTAGTCGAATGAGATTCTCTCTCTCTTCTATTTTCGCAGTACGTGATAGAACGAAAAGAGGGATGAGATTGCAATGTTCTCCGCTTTCCGATACTTCGGCAATATCGTATATATTTTTAGTTGTAACCGAAAGTGAGCCTCCACTTGGCATTGGCGTAGCTTGAGTTTTTGTCTGCGGTTATTTCTATTAACGAGCTGACAAATGTTTCAATCATTCTTGGCGAAAAGCGGAGGACAATTTTGTATTTTGCGAACGATGAAATCCTCTGATGTTTAACTTTTCGTTACATCTTTTACAAGAATTCTAATAAGTACATAATACTAATAAGACAATAAATGAATGGAATATTAACAACAATAGTACGGTGTTAAAAAGTATGGTATGATCTGGCTACATTTATACAAGCGATATCTATAACAAGAGAGGTCTATTTCGAATCACTGTTTCACGAATTTTTTATGAAAGATGAAAGCAGCGATAGGACAAGTTTAAATTTACATCTATCGGTAGGCACGCGTGAAACGCACCGAGGAATTTGCCCTAATGAGCGTGGAACGAAGGGGTGTCATCTTAGACGCTCTTTCCTCTTCCCATCGACACGGACAGCTCTGCCCTCAAGGGTGTTGTCAGTACGGCAAATATGTTGACAGGTCATTCAACATCTTTCCGTCGCTGCTAACGTTGAAGACGCGTGACTGAAGCGATGTTGCACCTCAGAATATCCATAGCTAAGATTGGACCTTTTCTGCTGCAAAAACTTCTATTCCGTACCAAGAATTTTAACAAGAAAATTATTAATAACGGAAAGGGAACAGGAAGTGATGATTCAACTGTTGGTATAAGGGAGCTGTGTTTGCTTAGACTCCCTGTTCCCTGTGAACATTCTGTAGGAACTTAGAATACATTATACACCATGTTAAAAGATTTTTAATTTATAAATTAACAAAGTCTTTAAAATCACTAAATCATGTTTAATGTAAGGTATTAATATTGTTAACAGAGCTAGTCCACCTAATGTACAACTTATAACGATGCCAATAGACTCACCTAGTATAGCATCTATTAAAAAGAAAACCAAAACCAGCGTTTTGTTTCTAAATTGTAAAATAACCGAGTATCAAAAGTAGGCGATGCTGTGTCACCGACGATTTTGACATTTGCAAATCGACGCACTTTGCATTTGTTCACGCGATACGATTATCCGTGGTATACAAATTCCGCAAATTAGACCATCGCGTAAAAACTTCCTCGTAGGAGATCTTTGCGGGTTCGCGCGGTCTCAAATGCGCGTCGTCGAAGAACGTACCGTAACCCGTAGGAAGTTGCAAACATGTTATGTAACTCAAAATTTAAACGATAAGTGTTAATATAAACGTCGAGCAAAACATTGTGAGAAAATTTGAAACGAGATCCTTAAGGAATATAGTTATTGCAAAATATGTATGTACGTTCAGCCGTTTACGTGAGGAAAATACTGTCCGATCGGCGGTACCATTTCGCTCATCTGACAAGGTGAGAACGTGAGATGTAATAGATGTAAGTCGCTGGTTATATTGGTAGGGAAGAAATAGGACATTTGTGGAGTTAGCGTTGGTCAAGTATCTCTTTTGATATTTCATGTATATGTACATGTATGATATGTACGTATCACATGTGATGTATGATATGTGGTGATACTTGACCATGTACCTTTGATATTACAGCGATATTTGTATCCTCGGATGAGCAATAATGTGAGAGCACAATTATCTACTATGTTAATAGTGTACTGAACTTCATGTGAAGATGGCAGTATGAGTTACACTTCATTTTAATGATTTTTATATACATTGCAGAGATAACCAGTAATCGTGGTTGCGATGCCCCACTGCACCTCCAACTTCGCTTGGTACTTAGGAAAGTTCATCGCAGGTTTCACAGGGATGCTATTCTTTTACTTCGGTTTTTTAAAAGAGAGGTAAGCTTCGAATTTCATACAAAACTTTGAACATATGTATTTGTAATAAAGTTTATAACATATGTATTTTACAGAGAATATAAATGTCTATGCAGAGCAAGAATGAGAGAATTCATGCGGCGCAGAGGAGAAAAGTGAGTCACGTTGGTCATACGTGCGAGATTTCTCTAAGGATTTTCCTCGTCAATTGCCCCTAAAGAATATCACGTATCGTATGACCAGCGATATCATGTTCATGGCATAATCATAAGTTCTAATACTTAGTACTAATTCCTGCCCTGTAGACGACCAGGCAGATGCGAATGCAAAGAGGGGTGAGTTGAGGAACGATGCTGACTTTGTAACCCTTTGGATAAACTTAATTGCCAAAAGTCAATGTTACATTAATGGTCCCCATAATTAGATTCGTTCAAATGTCTTCATATCCAAAGGGTTAACAATGTTCCAATCACAGATAAATTAAACAAGAGTGTCTTTAATTTGCACAGAGCACGAGACAAGGTTTATGCTTGCGGGTGTAGAAAACGTTTGGACTTGTGAGTATAATAATGAACAAATTAACTAATACAATTAAGGATAAATTAAGTGATATAATAAATGTTTAGGGTATACGAGGATAAAGGAATGGTTTCTCGAAAAAGATCCTGTGATGATCTCCCGGACTGCACTTGCATTAAGCAGAGGCCTACCTAAAAATGACAATGGTAATTTCGACTTCCCCAGCGAATCGCTGTAAGTCTTACCATCATGAACCAATTCGACTATACAACAAGTTCAGTGATTCCGTGTTTGCTTCGATTGCAGATATTTCTTTGTTAAATTGCGTGTGTTGTATGAAGCTGCATGATCGGAAGTCGAAGGTAAATAAGATGGAAGCTATTTCAATAATTCTTCAGTAAACAATCCGATCAGATTAACATATTATCTGTAAATTCTGCAAAGTGCTCTTAGAAGGAGGCTTGAATATCAGTTTTATTATTTTTGCACAAAATATTAACCTGTTTCAAAGATGCTTTTTAAAAGGAAAGTATTAAAAGAAGTTAATTGTTATTAACACTCAGTCAGTTTTTAAAATCTTTTAAAAGATGTATGTTCTTCTGCCTAAGCAATCATATCTTTTTAAACACATGTCAACAACCCGTTTCTTCGAATTCAGCTTTCAGACTCGTTCACAAGCGTACGAAGAAAACGATCACGTCGACATTGTTTGTTTCGTCACTGCAGCGGAACCGTGTGCCCTCAGAAATTCATGAAGAGAAGAAAGAAACATCGTTGCGTCCATCTGCGTGTCTCTCAAGACGTTATTTTCGATCATTGGAAACCGTGCAATAAACCGAAGTCTGATACAAACAATGTTAACGATACAAAAGTGCACGAATGCCTAAACACAGAACAAGAAATTGCAAACTGTAATACTTTTAAAAATGAAGAAAAAAAGGATATTGAAAACGAAAGAAAATTATGCAATAATTTAGGATCAAGGCCTGAACCTGTGTGCGTTTGTGAAAAACCTCGCGATTACCATTCGCCTCGGTTATCCCCCAAAAAAGTGGAATCGAATCAAACTTTTTCTCAATGTGTTAACCAATCGAATATCTCAAAAGAAGTAGCTAGTAGTAACACAAAATGTATCAACGAAAATATTGTTAAGGCCCAAAGAAAAAGTTCAGATAAATATTCTTCGTTTAAAAAAACACAGAGCGACACGAGTCTCAACGAAACAGTAATCACAGATAATAGTATGGATTCTGTATGTCATAAATTACGCACAAAATGTCCTTCCGTTAAGAAGAAACTATCAGGAGAATGTAAGTCGAATACGAGAAATAAGCAGTCGAACGTTGATAAGACTGAAGACATTTTTGACAACACGTCGTTCTCTTCGAGGCAGAAATGTGGGACAAAACACTTTACAAATAAACATCGATATAATAGGAAGAATAACTGTACTGTTACAGATCGACAAAACGATAGCACATCTCAGAAAAAGCTATTAAGACATTGTGCTAGAAATTGTGCTTGTTGCAGCAAGTTAGTTATGCTATTTTTATTTTTGATACTGTAAACACAACTCAAACTTTATTTTTTGTATCTCATGTTTTATGATTTTATTTTTTTATTAAAACATAATTTTTACAATGTCTCAATTTTTCAGAGAACGCAGCAGTCATCAATGGAACACTAGTCGAAAGGCATCGTCCTCAAAACAGCATCATCCATATTGCAAATTGTACACAAATGTGCAGAAGAACTACTGTCCCTGTGATCACATGAAAGCGAAGAAGAATATTCATACATTTGCTGAAACTCGTCCGTCAAGATATAAAGTACAATCAACGCATTGCAAAGAGAAGCCTACATGGATTATTTTCAAGAATAAGAGATCAGCCAGGTCAAGAATTCTTGAAGAATCAAAATTCGATAACTCCTCGTACTCGTACAGTTCATCGTCAATGTTGACGAATATCACTGAAAATTCGCTTCAAGATGATTCAGCTACTTGTTGGAATCCTTGTTACAAATATTCGCGATATATATCTTCAAGGAACCCACGCAAATATAAAAAATGCAATATAGGTATCGATTCTAATGGACTGTCTTCATCATCGTGCTTGACCTCGTCCAGACGATGCCACTCGTGGGCAATGTTGTCGCAAAACTCTGTCTACGAGCAACAACCAATTTCTTCATCTTCTTGCACGGATATTTCAAGATGGAAACGAAGGAACGAGAAAAGAGTGAGAACGTATTACTCTTCGACTTCGTCCTCGTGTTCTTTGACATCCCTGACGACATACAGGGATGACTATAACCTAGAAAACAGTTACACCGATCAGATTACGTATAACGCATTGAAGAAAAACGACAGGATATTCTACGGAGGAGATGACGTTAAATTGAAGCAAAGATGGAGACCAACGTGCCGCGAACATGAGAAAAGAACCATCCATATGAATGAACGTCGAGTTGCCTGGGACATTTAAGAATATCAGAAGTAATCGGTAAAAGTAATTAGCGTGGAAGAAATATAAATAAAGTGAATAGTAAAAGTATGCGATAGAAGTAATTTTATGAATCAAAACTTTTCAAAGACTTAGAAAAATAATATCTTATAAGCAAGAGGGTACAAACGAATTCCAGCGCATAAAAATTTTGAAAACCACTATTACTGTTCGCTGCGACGCTAGGTACAATTTCAACAATAATTCACGATTTTTGTTTGCACAGCGAACGTGTTGAATCGTAAATTAAATCATGCGACAATGAGAGAAGCGTGAGCAACAACAGTAACGAGTACACGTAATTGGCAGGTACCGAGTTAGCACTGAAACTCCATGAATAAATTGGACGTGGTGCAAAGGAGTGACGTGTCTCGTTGGACGCTTGGAAAATCTGAAACTCGATTAATACGCGTCGTGTCTGTAGGTGAAGAGTCTATAAGTAGATCTTCTACGGACACGAACGTCAGTCATATTCATATATTATATGTTCTGACCTGGTGGACGAAAGCTTCCTTTAACGCTAACGAGATATCCACAATGGTTAACGCTATACATACGTCATGCAATGCCACGATATACATCTTTGCCGAAAATTTCAGCTACAATTTAGTCGACGAAGAGGAAAAAAGGAAACGTTAATACGTTGTATAACGTTTGTAGGTTTTTGAATAGACATTGTTTGTTATACACCAGTGGGCACATTAAGTACCCATTACTTGATATGTTCTTTATACATATAGCATAAATAAAATATTTGATAACTGTGTCGATAATATTTTAAGCTTTGAACTTCGTCAGAATTGAGTTTTGAATCAAAGGAAACATAAGGAAGACAATTCTCGTTTTCGCAGTTTAATCGCGAAAGAAAAACAGTGATTGATCGACGCATCAATGTCCGGTGTTTGTAAACTCCATTTTTTCCCTAAAGTTCTCTCATCTTAATCTGCTCAAGAATCTCTCTGAATGGCGGGCTTTGTAAAGGAAACGTCGCAGCTGCGTCCCTTTTGCTGCCTCGCATTTTGCACGCATTCCGATGAAATAAAACGAGAACAGCAAGGGGTGCCGACTTTAACCGAGAAGAAATATTTCGAAACGGGATGTTAAATGAGCGAACTGTCCAACTGTCACTCCGTCTAGTACCCAGTTTCTTTACCACTTAACGAAAATATGAGCCAAAATGAATCTATATATTTTCGGTGTCCATGTTACAAATATACTCGTAACACTTATATGTCAAATTTTCTTTTGTTAATGATTCGGTTCCAAAATTGTATTCCGAACTTACATTTAGGAATTTATTAATGTACAAACATACATAAAGATAATTTAACATTCATACAGAACCCGTTACTTACAGTTCTTACTATATACAAATCATAATTATATTACATTGCTAAATTAGATATGCGGTGGTTGAAATAATATCACCTTGCTCGAAACATTTTTCAATCCATTCGCTTTTAACAACTGTTAACGACTCCCGTGATTTATCTTTGATTAAGCTTTGCAATTCAGGACTTACAGAACCTTTGCTGACAAACACGTGTGTAACAGAGTCGTCAAGAGTTTCTTTAATAGTTCCAGCCATAAAACGGAACTCGACTTTTAATCCATTTAACGGATCGTCAAAGTAAGCCACTATGCCTCTGAAAATGGAATAGGGTGATACTCCATTATCAAATAATTCTTTATCTATTTCTTTCATTTGCGCACAATCGAGTTCTTGTGCTGTTCCCTAAAACAATTTCATATGAGTGATAGCTGTGCTTGTGCTTTTGAATATGTTAAATATATTTTAGTATACCTCTTCTTCGATCTTTTTAAATGAACTTAACAGACTCTCTTCGTTCGCATCAATAGTAAAACTATCATAATAATCGTCATAATATAGCATTAAACGTTGCTTCGTCGATTCACGACAGGCTATTAAATCCCACGGTAAAAAGTCTTGTAAGCATGGCCAATTTTCTTCTTTGGTAACTCGTTTGAACCAATCTAACGTCACTACGTCATATTTTTTACTTTCTATGATATTCGCTGCCCTTGCCTAAAAAATTAAATCTAAGATTTATTTGTAAACAATTAACACCTTCCAGGGGGTATTTACCGTTTTAGCATTGCCAACAATGATACAATAATTGTTTTTCGAAGGGCTTTGTACAACCTTCGCTTTATGTTGTGAAAGAATTTTTTCAATTCGTTCTTTAGGCAACTCGTCATTTCCATTTATCACACAAATTTCTCTATCATCAAAAAGTCGAGTAAGACAAGCTGTTGATGTATCTTCACAAGTCTCCATTTTCGTAAATTTAGCTTCGAGTTTCTGTGGAAGATATTGTGTTGATTTGCGTACTTTGACTTTAGGAGACTCCTCTGTATCCTCGTGGTCTACTTCTCGTTTCGTTAGTTTTTGAATTGGTCGTGTATCCTAAATAGTAATAAACTCCATGAATAATTGAAATAACTAAAATTTGTTAAGTTGTACATACCTTGATTAAAGATAAGAGTTCCTTTGTGGTGCAAACACTGTACCATGGTTTATCAGTTCTAACTTGCATGACTCTAGGAAATCGTAAACTATATCCTGTTGGATAATCATTGCTTACTGTCATTTCTGAAGCTCGTATTGTTAAAATAATGGAGTCCTCAGGCCGGATCCATTTATCTGGTAATTCACGCTGGAAAATAATATTCACTGTACTCAAGGCTTACCTTATCAAGGTAATCATTTTTATCAAGGTTTACCTTGGGAGGAATCACATTTGCAGGACATGTTGTTTGCCACTTCTCCTTAAACATTTCCCAAATATCCTTCAATGCTTCCATAATCAAACCACTGCTAACAGATACAACAGCAAAAAATTCTGAAGGATTCTCGCCTGGAACAGCTGATGGTGAAGCTACTCCCATTAAGAAGCTTTTCATCAAACCAATGCATCTTCCTTCGCCATAATAACCACCAAGAATAATTAAATCTACATCTTGCACTAAATCATCAGAGAACTGAAAAGAGAATATTTATGAAAATAGGAACAATTATTAATCAGTATTTTAAGGAATATTACCTCAGCTTTTATTTTGTAACAGCCACTACCATCTCGAACATTTGGTTTATATTTATTATTGCATTCTTTTAACACAATCCCTTCTTCCTTGTTTCTAATGCTTTCATTAAACACTTTACGTAATTCTTCACTTTCAAAGAAATAGAAGTATTAGTTATGAACGTAGTATGTAATTTTGAAGTAGCTGATCAAAATTATACCTGTTAGAAATTTTATTAAATTTACATAATATTAGACATCCCTCTTCTTCCTTAAATGCATCTTTTAAAATTTCTAGCCTTTTTGAGTAAGGTTCTTTATCAAGCAAAGTATCATTATACATAATAATATCAAATGCAACAAAACATGGTTGATGATGACTATTTTCTGACAGCTTTTTAACGTCAAAACTCATTCCTTTTGAACCAAATAGTTTCTTTTCTTTATGCCAGCCCATCAGTTCTCCATCCAGAATTATTGATTTACATTGTGGATTCAACAATCGACCAAATACACTACTCATAAAACCTAAAGTTGCCAAATGTTAGTGATTATTTATTGCATAATACGTGCTTCTGCAAGAAAAATATAATATATGTACCCGAAGAACTATCTTTCCCATAACTAGAATTATTTGTAATATCAAATCCCTGTCTTGTAAAATATTTATATTTGCCATCTTTCATATGCATCTGAGATCGTTCACCATCATACTTATTTTGTACAAAATACTCCTTGTTCGAAGCAAAAAGCTTCTCTACATCTTCAATCTTGTATCTTTCCAACAACATAGGCTTGAAATGAGAAAAAACCTGAATACTATGATCATATCTCAAATGTGGATCATATAATGTATCACAAACTTTACGCAAATTAGATGATACTTCAAACAATCCATTTGCATCAGGATGAAACACTGAAAGACATATGATTAAAAAAACAATATGATAAAAATAAAATTTTCAAATAAATTATTTAATGTATAAGAAATAAACCTTGTAATATCTTCGTTGTCCCCATACCAAGTTTTAAATCTTTTACAATGATTCGCGTTATCCACTTAAATTCTAATGCATTTATTTGCTTCAACAAAATCTTAAATACTTGGTCCTTAGTTCCGTTTTGTACTGATATATCATCAAGAAATTTATTAATCTGTTCTATTTTGAAATTAGAGCTATCACATGGTAAATGTTTCTTCAAAATATAATAAGCTCTTCCTGCAAAATCACGTCCAGCACTTCTTTTCCTTCCTGGTGCTCTAAAACGAATTTATTTTATTACTGTACAATAATAATACGTTCATGATCATAATCATCTTACTTGTATTGCGTAAGTTCTTTTGCATCCCGGCTATTTTTACCCAAACAAAATACACGAATGTAAAGAGCGGCGAGCGATTTTTCCTTTAAATTATGGGGTCTTCGTTCTCGTTCAAGATGAGGCAATATTAGTCTCATAATAGGATAAAGTGAAACATCCTGTTAAAATAAATATAATTAAATTTTTACTTATTGTTAGTGAAATGTAATTAAGAATATAAGATTATAAAATACCATATCTGGAGATTCTGCTTTTAGTTTGTAGCTGATAAGACGACATTGCTGAATAAATTTTTCTAATAGATCAACTTTCCTAGCAGAGGATGCTTCTTCAATTTCTTCTAAGACATTGCACAGTTTCTTAAATTCAATTTTAGTAGCTAACGTCATTTTATTCCTGTAGAAAAAACAATATTAATTAATAGTTCAACATTTTTGTAATCAAAAAGATAAAATTTATTTAAAAAGAAGTGGTTTTTCAACAAAATATTTGAATCTTTTGCAATATGTGTACATGTTTATTTACAATACTGTAATTCAAGTTACATTTAAGCTTTCCATGCTTATTGTACATTTATATTTTATGAAAAGGAACTTATAAATTAGATAGTACAAAATCTTATACTAGACTGTAATATAATTATCAAGGTACATTCTGGCTAATAAATAATTTTCAGATTGTAAATAAATTAGATGTAAATTAAAAGCAGCTTCTTTTTTTAAGTCTAAGAAACATGAATTTTTTTCAATTAAGTCTCCAGGATCTTTAGTAAGAACTAATTTATAAAAGTGTACAGCTGCAGGTAATAAACCAATTTGATGAAATGCACGACCCATGTTGTAGTAAGTTTCTTGTTCCCCATTTTTGCCCCGCAACTGAGAATACTTCTTCAGGAAGGCTATAGCTACAACAAAATACAAAGTTATATTCATTAAAATTTATATTTTATTTACTACCCGTATTTGTTAAATATATACGTGTCTAAATAATAATTACCTTGAATCACAAGTTGATTCTTCTTAGCAGATAATTTTTGACATGACATTTGTAATAAAGTTACACCAATAAGTAATGCTAATAAAGCACTAGGCATTACTTTAAAGAGAGAAATATAATCATTGAGAGCATACTTATATGTTCCAGAAATAAGACAATTATTTGCATGCATTATATTCAAATAAGAAAACACATCTTCTCTTCCAAGAAGACGCATTATGAATCTATTGTGTCTTGAATCTTCTGCCTTTTGAACAATGATATTTAATAAATTCCAACAACTTGGTCTTTCGCATACCCGTATTAATGATCGTACAATGTTATACCCGTGATATGAGTCATTATTGTATATACAAGAAAGCAAACATAAAAACATAATATGAAAATTCCTTTTCTCAAATTTTTTTGATGTTAAAGCACTAAAACAAATTCGTTGCAATAAACCATATCTCTTTAATTTACAAGCTAATTTACACATTTGTATAAATAAAAGGAATTCTTTCTTCTCGCTTAGTTCTGAACTATTTAAAAATATTGGTGCATTCTCCTCTTCAAATTTTTCTCCGCGTGAGAATCGGTGAAGCTGTAACGTTTCTAAACGCTGTCGTAATACACACGCTCTGGTTAATGCATTCAATTCAACTTTGTTTCTTATATGTGCACAATGTCTGGAGAAAAGTAGCATACCAGACTGAAAATACTCGTCGTATCTTTTTACTTTAAAAAGAAGCAATGTTCTTTGGTAAATCACTTCTGGATCTAAAGTGTCTGATTCAGGATCTTGATGAAGAATTTCTATTGCTTTGTTATATTGACCCTTTAATTGATATAGCTTAGCTAGAGCTGTTCTCGCGCCTAAATGCTGGGGTGATAATTTTCTAACATTTTCATAAGACTTTATTGCTTTCTTTAAATCTTTACAGCCAACCCAACACTCTGCGTGTCGCAACCACACCGCAGCTAAACTATAATTGTTACTATTCACTAAAGGATCTAATAACATTAAAGCACGTTCAAATTCCTTCTTCCCCATTAAGGCTTCTGCTATGTCTAAGAATAAATCTCCAGAAATTTCTGGATTTTCATATAAATAAAATTTCGGTAAAAGTGTTTCAGCTTGTTTCATTTGATCTAATTCAATAAGTGTTATTAGAAATTTTGCTTTTAAATCAACGACGACATCATCTGGTATTCCACAAGCTTCTATTTCACATATATCTTGATCCTCCAATTCTTCGTTCTTCTCATTTCCAGATTTCCTTTTTACCCAAATACTTGTATATGTGGTCAAAATGTTTAAACATCTTTTAAACTTTTTTAGAGCTATTAATATCTCAGTCATAATGTTAACTTCTTCCAAAGTAATAAAAGAAGGGCACTTTAAAAAAATATTTTCCATTGCTTCCAATGCTTGCTCATTGTTGTTTTCTTCCATGTGTCGTTTAGCTAACATTTTAGCATATTTAATTATATGTTCACCATCCTCTGGTTCCAACTGATGAACTAGTTTTGAAAATCCTTTTAAATAAGCTTTCTTATCTCCATTTTTCTCTAGAAGTTCGGCTCGTGTTTCATATAAACTTATATCCTTTGGATTTGCTTGGATTGCTTTGTTATAGCATGTTATAGCTTGCTTTATGTCTCCACTTTCCAATGACATATTAGCTAATCTTACCCACTGATCAGCATCCTTTGGACTAAGATGTGCTGCTATTAAAGCACACTGTAATGATTTCTCTGGTTGATCTGTTTCATATATCATTGCCAGTGTATGAAATGGTTCTGGAGCACTTGGCACTTGCCTAAGAAAAGTCATAATATATACATTATTTCACTCCATTCTTTTAAGATAATATGTGCTTTTTATTTTTAGAAATAAACTTGCCTAATGATTTCCATACATATCTGAGCAGCTAATTCTGTATCTCCCCTTGCAAATCTTAAATTTGCTTCACCCATAAGACCCTGCAGAACTGGAGGCAATGTTCTCTTTTTTCGTTTATAACGTACTGGTGCTCCACTTTGTGACTTTGATGTTTTATGAGGAATGGTTTTACTTGTGCCTACTTCTTCATTTTCATAATTACTTCTACAAGTAAACAGTTTCATAACTATATGTTTTGTATATGAATTAAGATATCTATATGAGACTACCTATGGGAATCAACTTCTGTAGTTTCTAGGTCTACATTTTGATCCATTCTTGAAGAATATTCAGAGAATGTTAATTCTCCATTTAGGAACTGTTTTGTCAATTGCTCTTCTTCATCCGCTGTTAATAGCATATCTTGATCTTCTAAATCCGTTGCAACATCCATGGCAGAATCACTTTGCTCACAATAAACATCTGACATAACATTTTGTGGTATATCTTGTATCTTTAGAGCTCTTGTTTCAATGAACTCTGTTATATCCATATTCATATTATTTAAAGCATTTTCATCCAGTTCTTCTATAATTACTGGTGCTATAGTACTGTTTTCATTAACTGTCATATTGTTTTCTTGAGCTGACAGTTGAGAATCAAGTTTATCTGTACTGTTCGATGCCATTATAAAACTATTCACTTTTAACACCACAAGTCACTAAAAGATTTGTTATTATGTATTAAAAATAATGACTTGAAATCCATAACAAATCATTATTAAATTTTTATATTTTGTACAAAACAAGTTATAACATGTGTATATGAGAAATAAAAGTTGTTCATTAACAATGTGAATATTTATATAAAAATTAGTATCATATAACAAATAAACAAATAAATATGTTTACAAAATATAAATATATACTCAAGGTTAAGTTGTGACATATAAATTGTTTACCTTATTTAAAGTTGAATTTCAATGAAAACCTGTTAATTGTTTTTAAAGATAATTGTTTGGAAAAAATTTTCCTCAAATATAGAGCACAACTGATATAAATAAATTAATTTATGTCGATGACAATGCAGTACATTAAACGTTAGATATCGCCAACATCGCTAACGTGAAGTTCTGTAAACAGTGCGATAATATTCTGCATTATGACTTTCTTGTTCGTTATTTATCGGAACAGTTTCTGTACAGCAAAGTGTATCAATGATAGTTCGCAAAAATAAGGAGTACGAGAATATTAAATGAAAATGTATGTTTCGAACATTTTACTCTTTCGATTGAAGTGGGCTTTTATTTTAAGAACATTAAGGTTATGACATCAAAACAAGATTTTAACAACAAAAAAACGTCTTTACGTCGTTTTTAGATTTCTTAAACGCTAACTCAATATACAGATTATATATTACCTTGTTATAATTCAAAACATTAAAAAACAGCATGCTTTGGGAAAATACTGTTTAATAAATTATGCCTTTCAACTACATGTAAGTTTTATACACTACCAATATGCATAAATTCTAATGAACACAATTACTTTCATATAAACTAAGTTAACTATGAAGTTTTTTCATGATTAGTGTTATTTGTAAGTATAATAAGTAATACATAAGAATTTACTTTACAGTTATACAAATGCTGATGCATTTTTTATATCATCTTCTTATGAAATTTATTATATTTTTCTTTTCTTTATTAATCCATTACTTGTTCTGTTATTAATAAACTACTCTAAAGATCTGCACATAAATTTCTGTAATATTTATAATAATCTAGTTCTTTATATATCAGTAATCTGTTATGTGTAATAATAACTTTCTTTTTGTTTTCAGCAGATAATAGTATGAAGCCACATACATGTTGGCTATATATCACTTTATTATTAATACTTGGTATTATCATTGAGTCTCACAATCAAGTAAATTGCTCGTTTGAAAGCAAAGGTTCAACTCCTGAAGTTCATAATGCCAAATTACCATGTCGTGGTAATAGTCCTGAACAAGTGAAAGTTCACTTTGCTAGTAGAATTATTGAAAATGAATATATTGTTGCATTCAAAGGATATTACAAACCACATACACGTGAGAATTATATAAAGGCTGCATTGAATTCATCTGGTATCCGTAATTGGAAGATTTTATTTCGTGACAATTTGGCCAGCAATTTTCCTAGTGATTTTGATGTTGTCCTTTTGGAAGAAACAGACAAACACAATGGATTGGATGCTTTAACAGATCATCCTCTTATTAGGAGAGTAACTGCTCAAAGACTTGTACAGAGGAGTTTAAAATTTGTGAATGTATCAGAAGAAACTGATTTTCCAGAATATAAAAATTTTAAAAGAAAAATTAACAATTATGTTAGTTTTGTATAAATTACATTAAATTTATAATAATAGCTCACATATAATTAGGAATATAATATTAATAGGTGTCATAAATTACATTGAATTTTAGAATAATCAGTTTTGGCAATCAACCAATCGACATACGTCACGTAGATTACTGAGGGCTATACCATGGCAAATTACAAGTTATCTTCAAGCTGACGCTTTGTGGGGAATGGGTGTTACAGGAAATGGAGTTAAGGTATATAAGTTTCTTGAAACTTAGAAGATTAAACATTTAAATATTATATAACATAAAAAATAATTGTTGTTAGGTAGCAATATTTGATACAGGACTAGCAGCTAGTCATCCACATTTTAAAAAAATTAAAGAACGTTCAAATTGGACAAATGAAAAAACATTGGAAGATGGTTTAGGTCATGGAACATTTGTAGCAGGAGTTATTGCATCTTCTTGTATAGATTGTCTTGGTTTTGCACCAGATGCTGAACTCCATATTTTTCGTGTTTTTACAAATACTCAGGTATGTTTATTATTGCATTCTGATACCTCATTTTCCATCTTCAAAATATTAAGAAACTTGTTTTCCATAGGTATCTTACACTTCATGGTTCTTGGATGCATTTAACTATGCTATTCTAACAAAAGTTACAGTATTGAATCTTAGTATTGGAGGACCAGATTTCATGGATCATCCATTTGTTGATAAAGTATGGGAATTAACAGCAAATGGTGTAATTATGGTTTCTGCAATTGGTAATGATGGTCCTTTGTATGGGTAAGCATCTAAAAATTATTATTCTGTTTCTTGCTTTTGTAACTGTATTGTATAAATAAATTTTATTTTATTTAATATAGTACTTTAAATAACCCTGCGGATCAAATGGATGTTATTGGAGTAGGTGGAATTAATTGGGAAGATCAAATAGCAAGATTTTCATCAAGGGGCATGACTACATGGGAATTGCCATCTGGATATGGAAGAGTAAAACCTGATTTAGTTACATATGGATCAGGAGTACGAGGATCGGCATTACAAACAGGTTGCAGAACATTATCTGGAACTTCCGTGGCTAGTCCCGTGGTTGCTGGTGCTGTTGCACTTTTAGCCAGTGGATTTGTCCAAGCAGATGGATCACAATCTGTAAAGCAAAGAGTAATATTTAAAATTCAATATCATTTAGTATATTTATTTTATCGGCATAAAAGTAATATTTATATTTTAAGGTAACTCCAGCAAGTATGAAACAGGCATTACTTGGCTCTGCACGTCGCTTACCCGGAGTTGGAATGTTTGAACAAGGTGCTGGAAAATTAGATCTTTTACGTGCATTTCATTTCCTCCGTTCGTATACGCCAATTGCTACTCTTAATCCAAGGTAACTGTCATTTTTATTTTTATTATATTGTATGATTTATTTCTAATAGAAATGCATTTTAGCACTATCTATAACTATACATTAATCGTGATACATTATCAGTTACATAGACTTAACCGAATGTCAGTACATGTGGCCATACTGTACACAAGCTGTATATCATACTGGTATGCCTACAATTGTAAATATAACTATAATAAATGGTTTGGGAGTATCTGGACATGTAGCAGAACTCGTATGGCATCCGTATACTGGCAACGGCAACGGTGAGCGAATCGATGTGTCAGTAACTTACAGCGATGTTCTTTGGCCATGGTCTGGATGGTTAGCAGTTGCTATAACGGTTCCGTCATCTGCTCGTGACTGGCAAGGCATAGCACAAGGTGCAATTTATTTGATGATATTCATTCTTTTACGCGAGCAAATTTATTAGAAAGTCATCTATACAAAAGTTATTTTTATACATAGGTCACATATCTATTACTATTGAATCACCACCGAGTAATGGTGAAGAAAAGTCAAGACAATCTAAAATAGAATTGCCTTTAAAAGCAAAAGTTATTCCTACACCACCACGACAGTGAGTATATAATTTTTTTATGATGTTAATTGACATATTTAATGGAACGATTACGTTTATTTTATAGCAAACGTATCTTATGGGATCAGTATCATAATCTACGCTATCCTCCTGGATATTTTCCACGTGATGATTTACGTGCAAAAAATGATCCTCTTGATTGGAACGGAGATCATATTCATACCAATTTTAAAGATATGTATCAGCATTTACGTAATGCTGGTTATTATTTAGAAGTACTTGGTGCTCCATTTACTTGTTTCAGTGCCAAAAACTATGGTACTTTACTTATCGTAGATAGCGAAGAAGAATTTTTTCCTGAAGAGGTAGCATATTACGTGTGTTATATAATTTTCGATAGTTATCTTTTAAGTGACATATAATAATCCATTAACTTGTGACTTCTAGGTGACTAAATTAAAGAAAGATGTAGAAGAGGAGGGTCTTTCTGTAGTTGTATTTGCAGATTGGTATAACGTCACAGTCATGAGAAAAGTAAAATTTTATGACGAAAATACTCGACAGTGGTGGATACCAGATACCGGAGGCGCAAATATACCGGCACTGAATGATTTATTGTATTCGAATTGGGGAATTGCTTTTGGAGATCAAGTCCGTAATGGTCAATTTACGCTGGGGCAACACGCACCTGTAACTTTTGCGTCGGGTACTACAATTACTCGGTACGATAATTTAAATATCAATATATAAATATACGATAAATTACTAAAAAAAATATATTTCCTATTAATAAAGATTTCCAAAAGACGGAGTTATCCTTTATACGGAATTATATGATCAAGGACAAGAACTCTTACTGGAATCAGATTCAAAATCGACGATGTCCGTACCAATACTTGGACTTTTCCAAACAAGTGACTATAAAAACATTAAAGAAGTGAATAATGAGATTCCCAGTAATGATGAGGCAGCAGTGAATGAAAATTTAGAGAAAAATAATGTGAAAGATCAAGCAAACATTGTACCCGGTAGAATTATAGTGTATGGTGATTCGAACTGTATTGATGATAGTCATTTACAAAAACGTATGTTATAATCTTTAATTTAATCAATAATATGTTATATTTTGCTTTGTAAATATATATTAATAGTGTACTATGTATTTTTAGCTTGTTTTTGGATGCTCGATGCTATATTGGAATACACAACAACAGGACATATCGCAACCGTGTTTACAGACGAAAGTCAAACTAAGGCAAAAATTTTTGAAAAATCTAGTATTTTAGATAGCAATGAATTACCACAACGTATGGAAGGAAGCCATTTAAGACGTCATAGTAAAGTTTTACTGCCAGAAAACACCAGCGCTGGCCATATTCGGCCACTACCATCTTGTCCTTCTATTATTCTTGCTACTCCAAAACCTTTAAATCAATTTGTTCCCATGTATGTAACCACAAGTTTTGTTAAATTTCTATCCTATAGTAAGTTAACAATATTAACATAATTTGCAAATTTAAATCTGTTTTAGAAACCTTTATAAACCTCAAAAGTTACTGTCGGTCGGAGATACGGTAGCGGCAGTAAATCCAGTTTTGCAGGATTCAAGCCCTTTATGGCTTAGAAGAAGAGTCGGAGGTGCAAATATTCCCACGTTGAACTATCCGGAACGAAACATTATTATCGATGAATTAAAAGAAAGTGATCAAGATAACAGTGAAATATTTACAAGTAAGTGGAGTTACGTGGCAGGAATAATTATCCTAGGAAGTATTTTTCTCTGTTTATTAAATCGATGGAATTGCTTAATATCAAAAAGGCATTCTCGAAGAAAACGAACTGTCGGTAGATTACGCAGAGTTATTCAAACAATTTCTCTACGCAGAGTGCCTCAGATGTGATTGTATATTTGATAAACCTTTGACTAATTCAAGATAATATTAAATTATCTGTGGTAAACGCTTAAAAAAATAAAACAAACTATATTATGTGCCTTTGAATACATAGTAATTGACATAAATTTGGAAATTATATAAATTATTTTGATAAATTTTGTGTATTGTTAATTGATTTTAAACAGCGCAAATTTTAGTTAATGTACATAAAAAATGCATTTATTTCTTCGTTTAAGTATCTATAATAAGTTAACGTATCAACTCATTGTGAATATCACAATGTGTTAATAAAATCCATAGAATAAAGCAAACATAAATTTGGACTGTAAATCAAAAAGGTAAAATTTTATATTAAATATTGACAGATTTGATATACTTATATTTTTTTAAATGTTTTATTCTTTTAATTTATGGTACAGTTATTTGTAGAGAACATATACGCAAAAGATATGTCAGCAGTTATTATCTTGTGATATACAATAATCATATGTTATACATAATCGTTTTTTATTACGAATGTAATTTAAATAAGTTTTACCAGGTCACAGTTAACACTGTTTGAAGTTTCTGCGCGCAAGCCTCAAACAGTATTAATTCCAGTAAGTAGTAATATAGCATTTATAATTTGTAAATAATATCATTTGATAAAACGGATTATTGAAATAACAAGTATAATGAAATGATTTGTTTTTATATATAAAACTAATGATACAAAAACATTATAATGTATTGTAATTATTTCTACTTGTACATAATGTTCCCTATTTGTATAATGATGTTTCCAAAATCTTTTATATTACAATTATATTTTAATTGTAAAATGGATTATATGTAATCCAATGTGCTCTATCTTGCTCTACCGCAGATTTGTGAGTAGTAAAAATACTTTTAAATACTTCTGATGCTTTGGGATCTTTAGCAACACTGTAATTGTCTTTAACTTTTTTATATGCTGGATCTTCAGCTTCACATCTGTTATTTACTTTAATGCTAGCAGCTTTATCATCCTTTTTAGCTTTCTTTTTTGGTACTTCTTCTTGCTTAATTTCTGGAGTTTGATTATCTTCACTAATTTTCTGTTTTTTTGCCTTTTTTTGAACTGTTTTTCGAAGCAACATATTTTCTTCCATTAGTTTGAAATCATCACCTTCTGCATTTATAATAACAACATCTGTCTTGGTGAAAGGTTGTTGACATTGGTGGCATATCTAAAGAACATTAAAATACAAATATTTATACTTCCTTATTATGGATGTTTATCTGATTCTCATATTGCATAATTACTTACTGTACTCTTGACTGCCTTAAGTGCACGTTCGCTCATTACACATCCACATGACCACAAGAAGCAGAACTTGTATTTACCATTCATCTCTAACCCAATAACTGGGCAGATATAAGGACTTCTGCCTTCTGTATAACTATCACCATTTTTTGCCTTGTTACCATCAAATACTGGATTTTTTGTTAGATTTAAGTTTTTCACATCTTTTAAACTCTTAATATGTTGTGCTGATTCTGGGAGTGTACTTCGGTCAAGGAGGCCTTCCAATACAGATTCTTTGCTGTAAAGACGTCCTAAAGCACAACCAACTACTGGTGATTGTAATGGTAACTGTTTTATTGAACAATGTCTCCATTTAAACGCCAATTCTGCCTCCTTGTCTTTCTATGAGAAGAAGTTACATATGAATTTATGTGGGCATTTATTAAAAACACATAACAACCCTGTAAATCCAAATATGTATACAAATTCGTTACCTGTTCTGGCTTCTTCTTAACTCTTACAAGTTCGTCCCTACGGGGAATAGTTCCACCATCGCAACCCATAATATATTATTCTTTATAAAATGAAAGAAGTTATTTAAGTCCAACGAAATTTATGTCAAATGATATTAAAGACTGAGTGACGTTCACGCATGACTGGTATGCTAGTGCGTCGCGAATTACAAGGCTACCAACCTTTAGCACATAATGAAATTAATTCTTCAATAAATATATAATTTATTCAAGTTAAAGATTGTTTTTTTATATTCAATTTGTGTGATACATGCATGAAAAATTAGTATTTATGACAAAAAATAAAAAGCTATTATATTGTATTGGTTAGAAAGTAAAAACTAAATTTCCGGATAGATTGGTACTGATAGTCATCCTTGTAGACAATTCCAAGTCAGCTGATGATACTGTGGCTCAGTTTATGCTTTAGTTGCCGGGTGGGTCGTAAGGCAGCAGCACACAATTGTCATCACGTGAGGTCACAATGGTTTCTGATAGTTTCGACGAAGAGTGATTAGAACAAGCGAATGTTTTGAATTTCTTGAGAAATTCAAGCATCTGCCGTGTTCTCCAAGTAAACTTGAAATTTAATATATTTCGTAAGTAAAATCAAGTTATTCTTTTTTTATAATGAACCACTCCTAAGCATATTTATTAACAAATGAAAAAATATTATTAACCCATGTTTTACGATTAAAAGATGCTATATGTTATCGTGAAAGGATTATAATGAACATTTTTGTAACGTCAAGATAACATGTACGTCAATTATTGTGATTTCTGTTAGATCTCACGATTATTCGAAATTTCATACATGACGCATTTTTTGAAGACAACGATGTTACTCGATCGTGTTTATCGATTTTATTAACAATACATTTAGCGACTGTTATTAAATCATTTGAAGAGGTAAGGTTAACTTCACGTTGAAATTTTCGTGCGACCAACGTCAATTCAAGGACGTCTCTTTTCATATGCAATTTCACGTACATTTGTCATTTCCCTATATTGATCGGTGTGTAAGTTGAGCGCGCCATTCTTGCACATAGTGTATGTCACGTGGAAAGCGCGCTTAATTACATAATACCGACGTTGAAGAAATACATTGTGCCACACCCCCTTCTTTTATTTAATTTTTAGCATTTTCCCATAGCTTCTAAAATTATTTTTAACTTAAGTTTTATATCATTGACGGTTATGTACTCAATTGATTGGCGAAGCAATGAATAACATTAATTACATGTCATTTTAATAGACTAATAGCGTCGAAAATGAAGCAGGTGGTTGTTGACAATATCACGACTCTTTTTAGACTAATTTCTAGTTCTAAAAGTTATTAAACTGTAATAACTATCATACTATCATGTTACAGTCTGTTTAAAGTAACCCTAGACACTATTATTTTAATACTACTGGTTTGAGCAGAACAAAAATTATAGGATATGTTTATTGTAATTTAATTATAATGCAATTTTATTAATACAAAGTTTATTCGCTGTTATGTATGATTGCCTAACATCTTTAAGATATATCATATAATAGATTGACAATATATTCTTAAAGTATAGATTTTTATAATGACCTTGTCTTTTGAGTAAGCTACTTGAACTTATGTACTTTACTTCTTTGAAGTATTATCTTCATATGCATTGGGAAGTACTATATAAAAAATTCAGATGATTAAGTTTTAAAGTAAAACTTTAGTATCTATGTTTATTTTAAACAGACTAAAAATGGTCTTATTATGTAAAAATGAAGTGAAATGTCTCATTGAGCTAAATTTATGTAAAATAATATGTTAATAATTTTATAGAAATATGTATATATGTATAATTATGACAAAACTAATGCACAATTAAAAATGATATAGATATAGATTATGTAATTTAATTAACATGATATAATATTGTATTTCAGATACAGTAAAACATTTATATTAGAATAACAGCAGAATGACAGAATATTGGTTGATATCTGCACCAGGAGATAAAACATGTCAGCAAACATGGGAAACCATGAACGATTTAACATCAAAACAACATTCTTTATCAGTCAATTACAAATTTCACATCCCGGATCTAAAAGTCGGAACACTAGACCAGCTGGTTGGTCTTTCGGATGATTTAGGAAAACTTGATACCTATGTGGAACAAGTGACACGCAAAGTGGCAACATATCTGGGAGAAGTTCTAGAAGATCAAAGGGACAAGCTCCATGAAAATCTTTTGGCTAACAATAGTGAGTACAGTGTTGTTGGGCTTGTATCCTTAGAATTTGCTCTTTAATTTATATTTATATATATCCTCTACTAAAGGAGGATACATTATTGAAAAATTCAGGGGTCCAAAACTGTGCAATAGTTTTCTTTTCTAACATTAAAGTTTTGTCAAATGAAACTGCCAATATCATAAAATTAGTAAAGTATTAATTATTAATAGTATTTTTTGGACTCCTGCAAACAGGTATCGATCGATTTTTTGTGTATGATGTTTTAATATAAAATAATATTGGTTGGCAAGGACATCAATGAATACTATACACAACACAAAACATGCACACAAGTTAGAATTTTTTTTTAATGATACTCTTAAACATGTATCAGTTGAGTTCTTAAAACTTTAATTTATTCATTGAAAATAATTATAGCACAATTAGAGTCTTTGATCCTTATTCTCCTCAGTACCTTACATTAATAGACTGATAGATGATAACAAAATTTTGTCTGTGTACGCTAATTCTTATATGACAACAATATTATTTTTTATAAACTTATCTGACTAGATACGTGGTTTATGTTGAGGATAATATACAGGCAAAATAAAACTTGTCGCTATAGCACATAGTAACTAACATTCATAAATATGATGTGTACCATGAATGTTAAAATTTGATTAAATTTTTGTATTGAAAATATTACTATACCATTAAAAATGCCATAACTGTCTCTAATTTAATTTATCAAAATATTTGTTTGAACATATTTGATACATATAATATTTCAAATATAATCTTTCTTAAATACAAAAATAAATAATATATCAAAATATTTTAACATGTTTAATAAGAATATATTAATAATTTTATGTACCTTAACAGTTTGATGTTTTTCTAAGTAATGTAATTTGTTTGGATTTATAACAATTTTTATAGTTAATTTTTATCAAATTTCATATTGGGATGAAGATAAAACATTCTATTTAAAGTATAAAATATAGTGGTACACATCATATTCTGGCATATAACTTATATATCTGTAGAATGCTTATTACTATAATTGAGTTAGAAATCATTTAATTTATTATTTACTACAAATAACTTCTCATATTTGTGGTGTTGCTTGGCTTGCTTTGTTTAATTTGGACCACATTAACCCTATTTCCCTACCTTATTATTTTATTAACAAATGCTCATACATGTGCACCATCAAAGATGTTGTATAAAGCTATAAAAAAGATTTTAATACACAAACATGCAGTATTATCATATACTAAGAATATGAAAGAAAGATTACAAACATATAGAAACATAGAACACACCTGATATTATATGGACCACACTTGTTATCAAAAATTTACAAAGGACGCAAGGAGTTGCTTGGGTTACTGTGGTCACCAAGCTCCAATTAGTTATTACAAGAACTTTTTATTTTTTCCTTCAGTTTTTTTTATTGATTTATTACCTCTTGACGTTATTAATCATTTGCAATTTAAGTTTGTATCACCGCATATCATTTGCTCATACAGTTTTTGGTTCTTCTGTTCATTTCGATTACATCTCATTTTGTATTTGTCTTTATTATTCTTCTTTTGTTTCCTTATTATTTCTGTCATATCGGAGTATTTAACGAAAAACTACTTAAAATTACAGATATTAATTCTTGTACTTACAATTTTTATGAGAAAAAAAATATTTTAGCTCATCACTACAAATAGTCGGAGTGTATTCTATTGGATATAACAATATAATTAATCGGACATAAATTAAATCAGATGTTCCTAAGTAGAGGAAATCTAATCCTAGAATATATTTCATTTTCTTTTTCAATACTGTTTTTTCAATTCTTCTTTTTTTTTTTCTTTTTGAGCAGAAAAGAAAGAGCTTAGTGGAGTTCTTACCATAGTAGTTGATGGAGCGTGGTAGAAAAGGGGAACATATCATGTTTTTGGATTGAACTTTCCTTGTTTAAGAAGGTGTACATCGAATTTATACTTTTTTCAATAAATGGGTAATAGGTATATATTTTATTTTTGGTAGGTATTGTCATAGTGATAGTACTTGTTGGAATTTGATTATAAAAGTGCTTTCGAAAATTGCCATAGTTTTGCAATTGGTTATTAGGGTGTACAGATTTCCAAACGCTAAATACTCCGTGATTGTTTTCTTTTGTTCTTTTTGAGTTATTTTGATTGAGTTTCGACAGCATTGTCGTTAGGCATTTGCGTAGGACGCAATAATAGTTGAACGAGACGTAAGAAAAATCGCGCGGAGATTGGGACTGGGCTGTAATGGATAGGTCAAACGTCAGTGGATGGGGAGAGCTCGAGCCCCGAAGGGGGTCCGGACACCCCGCCAAACACCCCCGTCACCCCATCACACAAGACTTCAAAGGAGCACCACAAGCAGTGGAAGGAATCGGAGAAATGTGAACCAGAACCGGCCACCTGTTTAGGTCAGCATCATCACCAGCGTCATCATCATCATCACGAGCATCATCACAGTCATAAACATCATAATCATACCTCTGATTTTGAGAAGAAGTCATCACACAGCCCACAAGGCATTTGTGATGCCCGATCATCAAATGATCCTTTATCAGCATATTCATGCTACCACGCGCATTGGTGCGCCGCTTCAACCTCTTCCACACCTATTCCTAGTCCTACTCCTACGAGTCCAAGTCTTTCCCTTTCATCAAACTGTAGCAGTGAAGGAGAGACCAGATGGCAGTCGGCGCCTCGTCATCGGACTACTGAGAAAGCAGATCAGTCTACCTCCAATCGCAAATCGCTTGGCAATGACGACGACGACGAAGACGATGCGGACCAAAACAACGACCAAGACCAAGACCAAGACCATAGCGGCAATTTGCCCAATCCAGGTACCCGTCCTATCACCGCCAGGTCACCCATCGAACCTTTCCCAACATAGCTGCGAGACTTGTTCAAACCTATGTTCCTGTGCACCTCGTGATTCGCCCGTTTAGCGACCGATTCTTGTCTTGTCTTATCTCCTTTGGAGGTAGATATAGGAGAGAAAGAAAGAGAGAGAGGTTGTCATTTTATGCTATTCGAGTTTTCAAACAACGACTTTCGCATGCAGCTTTTGCTTAGAGAAAAAGAGGAAGAAAATTATTGTAACTCACGTCGATTTATCTCGGATCTTTCTATACACTATATATATATATATATATATATATATTAAAATCGTTTTGATGATCCTAGTGCGCATTTCCTTCAATGTCAATTTTGCACAACTGCACTACATATGCAATGTTTGTAATGCTGAAATATTTTCTGCCAAATTTTGCCTCTAATGTAAGAAATTATTTAAAGTCTTCTTAAATGTTATTGTGCTGTGTCAAACGAGGAAGCATTGCTTATTACATATTATTTTTCATTTTGTCACTGTAATTAAATTTTCTACACTTATTTTGTAATAGAATCCGCATTGTTTAAAAGATAGTTTCTTTTGTTTTGTATCAATAATTACTAAATATAAGTTACATATTTCTGTATATACTTATCAATTATCTGATAAAAGTTGAAGGACCCCCTGTATAAGTCATGACAATCTCTCTCCAGTGCTTACAGCATACACGAAGTGAGACAGTACCAAAAGGAAAAATACTTGGCTTACTTTACTTAGCTTGTTATTCAAAATACAAAAGCCTAGTATATCGAATACTTTATATTGTATCACAGTAATTTCCTCACTGATGTTACAACAACATTTGATTTCTTGTGCACGCAGGAATTATAAAATTGGAAGATAACAAAGACAGCTACCCATGTTCTAGCACATTTTAATTGCAGCAAATGTGCGTACATTCTTAACGTTTATTTTTCGGAAAATGCTCTAGTATGTTTTAAGTTCTTAGCTAGTTCTTTTTCACTCCTGCGTCCTAGTTGTGAATAAATACAGGTTTTTTTACAAACAGTAAAATCATTGAGTGATCATTCAACTTCTTTTTAAAAAGATTCCTTACAGATATGAAAGTGTCCCATTCAATTAATACTTTTTGAAAATTGTTCAATCAATTTTTCCAGGTGCTGTGGACGAATGAATGAACACGTAGTGTTTTACCTTGATCATTATCAACCTCTATTTACATTTAAATTGCTTCTTATTATAATTCTTTTTTTTATTTCATATCTTCTTATACCATACTTTGTTTCAATTTTCTTATTTATACGTTATATGTTATTTTTTAAAGATACATGTTTAAATATATCTTAAACCTTTAAAAATAACATATTAAATTAATACGTATAGTAACTGATATACGTCAGATTATAACTGATTTATAGTTACTCCTATTCACACATATTAGTATATATAAAATATTCAAAGTATTCATAAGTACAGTAATCTAAAGTATGGTTTAAGAATAATTGTGAGATATACGCTACAATTTGAATACAATAACACTATTTTATACATATAAAACTTTATTTTTTTCAGTATATTTTTTTAGCATTTTTTCATACCTAGTTTTCACATGCTTTTTTATCATTACTTTCTATAATTTTTATAGAAGACAATACTGCACAAACTATAATACATGTACAATATATGTATTATGGATGTTAGCACAGATTACAGAGGAGATACAACTAACAAAAATTTTAAAAACACTTATCGATCGGTACATGGATTAATGAAATACTGTTTCGCATGATCAGATAGATTTTGATGACAGTATGGTGCTCAATACCCTTCAACACTACAAGTTACCCATATCACAAATAAACATCCTACTGATCAACTTTCATAAAGTACCTTATAAACAGCATGAAATGCTTAAATATCTTGGCTTAGCTGCATATTTTGTGTCTATGTTAATATTGTTCATATTATATCATTTAGGTCATTGATTATAAAAAAAAAAATAATATTTGATAATCACATGTAAAAGAACATAAAGAATCTATTTTATGTAATCATCAGTTGTCACTACATTTTATAGTATTCATTACAGTCACACTCTAACAAGTTAAATATACATGCGTATGCGTGCATGCGTGCGTGGGTGTTTGTTCATCCCAAATTATCAATCAACAGCTCCATAAAAAGACATAAGAATGTAGATCAAAATTCATATTAATCAGAGAGTTATCATAAATTTTGTTTGAATGAATATTTCAACATATTTTTTGAAACTCTGTAATTTAAAGAAATGTGCAATCCATTTCTTTGAAATAATTCACAATAGTATATTTATTACACTAACAATTAAATCAAAGGGACTAGCTGGGACTGCTTAATTCATTCAAACGTGATTTACGAGTAATTCTTTACCATACCGACATATAAATTAATATCTGCTTAAAGAGTTATTTACTTAATAAAATGATTAATTCCGTTTAAATGAAGTGAATTTAATAACAATAAAAAATGAATTGATAATATAAAATGCTTCATTAATGTTTGCATGCTGTATTTTGTTAATGTCTCGCTTATTTTTGTAATGCTAATAATAAGTAAGGAGCGTACTAGAATCAAAAAATGAGTTTAGTAGAAACAGTCTTTCTCTGTTATCTCATTATTATCAATACTCTCCTTATCACAGAGTCAACATGAGAATTAATTTAATTGTGGTCCAGCTAACATTAATTTAATTAGATATGTATTTATGTACATTTTGTATTGTGCATACACACACACACTTAAAAAAATGCATAATTGCAAACATAATCTAATAAAGCTTCTTGTTTTGGTGGGAAAGGAATAAATGATTGAAGATAATATTATTATTTTACAAAATTGTTAAAAAGATATATTTTCAGATTATTTATGAACTTGTGTGTTTGAACAATACACTATACAATTCAACAGAGCTTTATTCTTTTCAGCTTATAAATTTTATCAAATCATTAAAAATATATTCAGTATTGCATTTGTAAACACATTTAAGCACCTAGTACATTACATGTGATTTAAATATTGCATGTTATTTATAATTTCATATTTCCAAAGTTTTATGAGCTCTGTTTGAATACTTATGCAGACATATAAAAATATGTTATCCCAAAAGACAACTACACTAAGATTTTAAATTTACTAGGTGATCTACCATCTTATATAACTCGATTCCAGTGGGATATGGCAAAATATCCTATTAAACAATCATTGAGAAACATTGCTGATATAATCAGCAAACAAGTTGGTCAAATTGATGCTGACCTTAAAACTAAATCTACGACTTATAACAATCTAAAAGGCAGTTTACAAAATCTTGAAAAGAAACAAACGTAAGTTTATTATCATAAGTATGTAAATATTTGTTTAATAATTTAATGCTCTTTATAATTGTATTTTATGTTTTTAAATTTTCATTGATGTCAGCACATAGTACTCTTTGAGCAATAACATTAAATGATTATTATAGGGGAAGCTTATTAACAAGAAATTTGGCAGATTTGGTGAAAAAAGAACATTTCATCTTGGATAGCGAATACTTAACTACTTTACTTGTCATTGTGCCAAAGTATGTATACGTTTATTCTCTATAATTATCTTCACTCTTATTATTGGTACTTTACATTAAATTTTTCAATACAAATTTTAGAGCAAATTTCCATGATTGGTACAGTGGATATGAAAAATTAACAAATATGATTGTACCACGTAGTACCCAGCTTATTACACAAGATGCTGATTATGGATTATTTACTGTTACTTTATTCAAGAAAGTCATTGATGAATTTAAATTACATGCTCGCGAGAAAAAATTTATTGTTCGTGATTTTACATATAATGAAGAAGAATTAGCAGCAGGTAATATATACTTCAGTATTGTCCTATTGCCAAACTTTTACTAAATATTTTTAATGATGAAATTGACTAAACTCTATTATAGGCAAAAATGAGATAACAAAATTGGTAACCGACAAAAAGAAACAATTTGGACCACTTGTACGTTGGTTGAAAGTTAATTTCAGTGAATGTTTTTGTGCATGGATTCATGTGAAAGCTTTACGCGTATTTGTAGAGTCCGTCTTGAGGTAATGATGCACAGTAACCGTTGTCATAAGAAACTTTTAGGTGCTTTTATATTAAAATAATAATTTAATAGGTACGGCTTACCTGTAAATTTTCAAGCAATTCTATTGCATCCTCATAAAAAATGCGCAAGGCGATTACGTGACGTTCTTAATCAGCTTTACGCTCATCTAGATTCTTCTGCTACATCTTCTACTCAAGGAAATCAAGATGTAAGTTACAGTATTCTAATAATATTATTCTGCTTATATATTAATGTCAGTATTGCACATCTTTTTATGTACTGTTCGAATGAAAATTTATTTCTTTGTCATACTTAAATTAATACTTTTTTTATATTGATTTGTTCAAACAGAGTGTGGATATACCAGGATTAGGTTTCGGTCAAAATGACTATTTTCCTTATGTGTATTATAAAATCAACGTAGATATGGTCGACAATAAGGTTTAATCGGCAAAGATGAATTTATTTCCCTATATTTTAAATTTCTTCTCATTTAAGTATACATACTTCTGTAACTCCAGGTACTTAATGAAGGTGCGTACACAATAACATTGTTGTTTCTATGAAGTATATTCTGCATTTTTTTTTCTTTGTTATTGTTTTAATTTTTATTCTCAATTTTAAACGTAATTATCATCGGTTCACTTCCAGGAGTAAATAAAAAATATTTATCAAAAAAATGATATTTTTATAGTGCATCAAAATGCCTGGAGAGATGTATGTAATTTGATATTAGCTCAATACAAACTGTGCATAATAGATTGTACAATCATTTGTATAAATTCTAAAAAACATGTTTGAATGTATATTGAAAATTTTAATTTCTTTTTGAGCAGGCTACGTTTAATTGAACAAAAATATTAGTACAAATGAAATTCATAATACGATTGTTACATCGGCTTTCTGTGTTAACAAAATTGAAAATATCGAAATTATTATTATAATTGTAATAAGCATGTATTCCTTGCAATGCGTATATGCATTAATTTATTAAAATTTTTGTTAAATATAGCACAACTTATTTTACATAATACTATATTAAGAAAAGAAGTAAATACCGTATCAGAATAAAAATTCTGCGATATAAAACTGTATTATTTTATGTATTATCTATAAAGTTAAGAGAATTGTGAATATTGAAAGGAAAAGTTCATCTTGTTATGAAAACATGCATCATAATGTGGATCAAAATGCTTTTACTATGTTCATCGAAACAATCTTCATATTGCATATATTATAAACCATACAACAAAATAAGTGTTATCTAAATGTTGAAAGACGTAGGTTCCTTTTATAAAACATTAGAAACTGATGTTTTAACAATCGAGAGAATACAGATATATGCTAATGTATCAGTGTTACTAACTAGAAGTTATAAAATTGCAAAACATTAGTTAAACGTTGAAGTATTACTATTAACATTATATTTCAAGTTCGGATAGTGTATAAATTAAATTATAATAAATTTAAACAAAGTATTATTGATTTGAAGGCTGCACAAAAATAAACAATAACAGTAACAAATCACCGCAACACATTTCGAGTGATCGAACAGATTGTATTATAAATGCCTTATGTATAGAAAATATACTATATGCAATATTATTTTCAATATTGCTTGTATCTAATTCTCTTCAAAGTAATATTTTCGTTACATGAGCATAAAAAGAAACGTATGTTTAAATACTATAATCTGTATATATATTTTAAAAGCAAAATGGGTTACAGGTATGGTAATACTGTTTTTAATTTGTGCAACATATTTTAATCCATTAAAAATAACCTACATAGTTTATAAATCTTGTTTCAATAATGAGTTCGTGTTATAAAACACACTTGTATTCCAAATGTAAATTATTATATATTGTTGACGATATAAATGTTAATAAAAAGAAGAAGAAAATCTGATCGTCATCGATTAAATTTTATTAAAAAAGGAGACGGAAACAGGAAAGAGAATAAAACAGTTGCCTATGCGTTCTGCGTTGAAAATATTCCATGTATTAAAACTGTTATATGTATCATAATAATAATTTTTAAAATGTATTATTTTATATATATATATATATATCTCCCAAAATTGATTACAATATTTATATTGTATGATTATGAAATTCCAACTTTAAAAACCTTTTAGTCAAAGCAATAACGATGTTGACTAATGGACATTTATATATCTTGAATTTATAAATTAAATGAACTCTTATATGTGATTAAAAATTATACCACTACAACTTGTAAATGTATTAAACCAAAATATCGTTTAACTAACTTGCTCTTATTAATTGTACAAACAAATAATACTATATGTATAATAAATGGTAAGTCCTGTCGCCGTTATTTGCATTTATTAAGAAATGCAATATAAGTTCTTAAAACCCATCAAAATATATATAAAATAGAATTTTTGTTATTTAAGTGACTGATACATTAAATTATGACATTCAAGAAGAAACATTACTACTTTGGCACAATTTCTGAAATAAGAAAAAATATGTGGTTTCTATAATCTTTCATTATGTAAATATTTGATAGCGTTACCTGTAAAGAATCAATCTCTTCATCCCAGTTTCTTTCATTGATTACTTTTATTGCTTTTATAAGTATGTTCTTTATTTTATTAACATTCTGCTTAAATACAGCTATTACGTCAGTTGCATGAACATTATCATCACAATCTCTCCAACAATCATAATCTGTTGCCATTGCTACAGATGCATATAAAAGTCCTGCTTCTTTTGCCAAATATACCTAATTCAAAAATGTGTTATTTAAATGTAAAATATAGCATATCTTTAGTTCTAAGTTTGCTGAAAATTATAATAGTACCTCTGGACATGTAGTCATGTTAACTAAATGTCCACCCCACAGACGTAATGCATTACTTTCAGCTTTTGAAGAAAAACGAGGTCCTTCTATAGTTACTATTGTACCACCCTTTCTTATTTCATATCCTAATTCCTTTCCAATTTCAAATAATATTTCAGATGTATTTGGATCAAAAGCTGGTTCCATTGGCATGTGACATACTCCTGGAAGTTATGAAGGTTTGAAATTATGTTAACATGATTTAATATAAATCAAATATTTACCTGCATATCTTGATGAAGTACCATCATACAAAGTTACCTTTCTACTTATTGTTCTGTCCAAGAAACTATCAGGAATAACTAATTGCCCTCTACAAATGCACTCTTGTAATGAACCACATGCAGTGGATGCAAGTATGTGAGTACATCCAGCTAATTTTAGAGCTTCAATATTTGCTCGATAATTCACTGCACTAGGACTTATTTTATGACTTGGCCCATGTCTACGCTTAATTGAAATATTTATTGTATATTAACAGTATTAATTCCATTAATATATTATGCATTAATTTTATGTACATTAACTAAAGTAAAAAAGTCCAACATTACCTTGATAATAATATCACTTCTACACCATTACTGTATCCCTGATAAAGATCACTAGATGGTAATCCAAAATCATTTTTGGCTTCTTCTCGAGTAATTATTTTGCAATTGTCTAATATCTGATTCTGAGGATTGTTTAAACCAGATCCCCCAATTATACCAATCTGTAATTTGTGATTATAAGAACCTATGCAAACAGGTGTTCTTTAAATTTAAAAAAAAAACATCGAATACACAAATAACATGAAATGGTAAATTTAAATAAACGTTTTACACGAAACAAATAGGTAACGTAGGTCATATATAGCATATATCTACAGCGAATCATATAGTAAAGGCAATTTATTATTAATATAGTATATTATCAAATTAAACTGAATATGTAAATAAGAATTTTACCTTCACTTTATACTTAGCCATTTCAAAAACACGTGTTACTTCAGTTGCTGTCCGCAATGTTATACAATATAATATATGACTCTATTTTCCTTGATATGATATTTTTGTATCATGTACACGGTAGATTAAATCTGACTTCCTGCGGGAAAACGGCGGGCAGGGAAAGAAGCTCCCACCACCTAATATAGCGCTCACGCATTGGCACACAGTATGTATAATTCATAAGAATCGATAAGCAATAAAATTTCTTCAAATGAACGCTTACTTTTAAAAACAAGCTGCTGCTTCATTTTACAACAGAATATGAGCAATAGCTTATAGCTAAGTAATTAATTTAAAACGTTGGAAAAATTGAAAGCCTCATTTTTATGCGTTCTTTAAAATTTATATTATCGCGCGCTTTATCTGAAATTGAGGCTGCTCTGATAACTGCTTCTCTTTTAATAAAACTATAAAATTTAATAAAATGCTTCAATTAGCAATACTAAATGATTTTAGAATGTACAATATGTGTTAATAAGTCGAAAGTAATTGGTACGGTACATAATTATTTTCGAAATTTAATTCCATTAATTTCTACCTTTTACCGTTGGATGGTTAAGCATTTTGAGGTCCATAAAATAACATTTTGGACATTAAAACAAGTGAGCTGTTAAACTAACATTTTTATTGTATCTCAAGCATTTCGTACATAAATAATATTTTTCATTGTTTTTTTTACAAAACATAAAAAGTATGGCAGCATTATAAAAATATAATTAAAAATATACGAATAGCTTTGACCCATTTAAATACATCATAAATTACTTAAACAAAATTTTATTGGATCAAAAAAAAACTGATAATCATATTCAAATTGTATAAACCGATTTAATAAAAAAGCTTAAAAAATATTGAATTTCAAAGTTCTTCTGCATCTTCTAAACGTTTGATAACCTTTTTATATTCTTCTTCTAAACCTCTGTATTCTTTTTCAAGAGTTTGTATACGCTGTTCCAACGAGGGCAATGTTATGTTCCCGCGTTTGTCAATGGTTTTTAATGCACATTCCAGTTTTTTTAAATCATTCTGTTCTCGTCTGTATGGAATATTCAACCTCTTCTTTACATCTAATCTGTAGTCACGGTATTCTTGTTCATTTGTTAAGTCTGTTGCACGTAATCTTAAGATTTCGTATACTCTTCGAGCTTGTTTCTAAAATGAAATTTGTATAAAATGAATGTTCATAAAAGAAATAGGAGCATAATAAATACCTTATTAATTTTGAATTTTTCTTTTGCCTCTACGGCCATTGCTTTATTAAAACCTTGAAGCAGGTATTCTCGTGAAAAACTCGGTAACGTGCTGCAGTTCATTGCATCCACGTAATCTCTTATTCGCTGAAAGCTAGCAGAAGGGTCCTCAACTACAACAATGATGATAATGGCTTACCAAAATGAACTAGATTTACTGAAATGAAAGTATCTAATCAAGTTGCATTTCTGCTCCGTTTTTCTCAAAAATTAAATCAAAATCCAAAGATCCATTTGCAATTATGTTCCAGGACATTTAAATTTACCTGTAATATCTATGACCTCGTTTCTTCCAATATATTCACGATAAATAGCGTGTAACAAATGAGCAGCAAGACCCATGTTTTGAAATGGTGGTAAAATTAAAACTTGAGCTATGCGAGGTCTAGTATGATGAGGATAAGCATAATACTGATATACAGTAGCGAAACCTATGGTTGCATAACGGACAGTACCATCCACAGTATATTTTTCAAACCTATTTAAAAAAAAGTAATTAAAAAATATTACATTTGTAATCAATAAACGTAAAATAAAATATTAACTTACATATTAAAGTAGTGCCACCGATCATCATCTATGTCTATAAAATTAGCAGCATCTATATACCAAAGAACAAATGTTCGTAGACGTTGGTGATACTCTCTAAATCCTTTGTAAGTCATATCTGCTTTATAAACTTCAAATTTTCTTGTACATCCATCATCTATTGAAATTTGTAATCTCACAGTATATGGAATCTTTTATGTTCAATGAAGTACAATTTAGTTAAAACAAAAAATTACCATTAATAGAAAAAGAATGGAGTAATTCACCATGAGGTCTAAACGTATCATCTTTTTTCAAAGATTTAATAAATGCATCTAAATTATCATGAACTTGCGGAGCAAGTTTGTCCGCAACTTTTGGCAATACTTCATCAGCTTCAACTCCTTCATAAAGAGCTTTGCTTATTTTTTCTGAGTAAGTCATACCCAAATATGTTTCTAAACAACCTGCCGAGTAGTATAGCTTCACTCTCAGATCCCGGTAACCAAATATAGATTCACTAACAAATAAGATAAATAATCAAGAAAACAAATAACAAATAAATGTAAATAAATATATGCAATTTAACTACTAATTACATGTATGTATTCATACTATAATCTAAGGAAAGAGTTAATTTTTTACAATGACTTAAAATTAATATGTGTATGTATATATGTATAAAATTAGTTTTTTTTAACAACTTTACAAACCTGTCTCCAAATACCTGATGCGACATATCAGGTTTAAATGTAGTTTCATCATTTTCTATGTCTTCTATGTAACGTACTAATTTAAATTCCAAAGCATCATTGCTATTTATTACTAATGCCTTTAAACGTGCTGTTGCTGGATCTTCCATATTACTGAAATCAAAAATAAATAAATACCGATTAATTAATAAAAAATAAACAATGTCACATGTAAACACAATAGTTGCTTATGAAATAAAGTTAAATTAAAATTCAACATTCCATCAAAATATTAGCAGCTATCTAATACTTATTCCTTCCTATAATTTTAGAAGTATTTAATGAATAAATTTACACTATACAATAAACAATGTAAATTTATATATTTGTTACATGCTTAGTTACATAAATGATCAATGGACTTACAAATATTTATAGGTTATATTGTGAGTATTTTACAACAGAGAGAAGAGAATACTAACTGTAAGATGTTAATTAACACAAACTATATTGAATATAAGTTATATGATTAACAACAAACAATATACTTCTACGCAGTCATTTTTAAGTTATACTTATTTTTATACTAATATTTTTTCGAAAGTATTATTGCCATTTTTCTAATTTTACACATATTATCGTGTTATTTATACCTTCCTTTAATACGAGTATATGATAATTTTCAATAGATATCACTTTAAATTTCCTTTCGGTAAATACAACTATGAAACAACTTCGCGCCAAAAATAAAGCCGTTATTTAAGCCAAATATAATCTCTCTAAAGATTATGAATTGACTACAATAAATTGTCGTGAATTCTCAAAACTCATAGGTTATCACAAAAGGTACTTATAAGTCTCAGAGTTACTTTGTTAAATTTAGAATTGTCGTAATACATTTCAGTGACGTCTAATTTGAAATTTGCAGAAAATAATTATAAACGAAAAGATTATACCACCTTGTATACATCTAGCCAGAAAACGCACTAAATAACTAGAGGACAATTTGCGCAGCCAAAATAATCTAGGGAAATTCGCAACCACGAGTGGAGTGTCTTTACACTCTGTTTCTACTTTTATGGTTATATACGTGGTGAGTAAAAATAAAAGAGTAGTGAGCATCGGTGATTATGTGAAAAGGAAAGAAATATTAGACGCTGTTAGAGTGATGGATTTATAAAAAAAATGAACATAAAGCAAAAAGTATTTCGGTTAATCAGCAAAGTGTGCAGTAATTAATAAAAATTGTAAAACTTTTCGTTCACTAAGTATATAATTTTGTATATTTCGGTTTCAAAATCATCATAGATTACAGAGTGCGCAGAACTGAAAACGCGACATGCGCAGAAAGACCGGAAACCGTTATTTAGTTACTTTACTTTTGACATTCTTTCTGAACGTATAAAATAACAAAAGAAAGTTTTATTATGAATTACAGAAATTTTGAAATATATTACACATTTCATTGTGCATGACGTTCACTGTCATTCTTTAATAAAAATAAATTATTGTGATAATCAAACATGTCAGCAGGCGAGGTGAAGAAGGTGGAAGAACCTCTAATAATTCATACGTATCCTCTGTGCAAGGTCTGAGTTTGATTTATAATTACGTATAAGGTAATGTTTCTAATTAAAATTGTCATAGTTTAGTGATATGCGAGTGGAAATGAAACAGGAAGTAATGGAAATATGTGTCACTGCTACAGAAAAATATACACATAACCACGAACTTGCGGCTCGATCTATTAAAGACAGTTTGGATAAAAGGTTTGGAGGTCCATTTCATGTGGTTATTGGGGAGTCGTATGCTTGTGCAATTACGTATCAAGAAAAGACGTTAATGTACATGTTTAATGGCGGTAACATTGCAGTACTTGTATGGAGAACAATTTCCACTTTTTAATGAAAATTACAATATATAGATTTTACGCTCTATATATATATCGATGTAATTTATTTGTGTTTAAATGTTTTTTATTCAGTGTGGTATGTATTAATGGTAAGTGTATAATGATATAGATTTCATAATAGTAACGTTTGATTTCGAGGTTAGTTTTCTTTACGTTTTCGAAAAAAAATTAAGGTAATTTAGACTTCACTAATTAACTTTTTTATTTAGACTATAATTTAGATTTTAAGAATTAAATTTCATTCGTGAACTACAACGTGAAAATTAAATTTGCGGTTCCTTACGCGCCATAAACACTGAACTGCGCAGTAGACCACTGCGCATCGAACCACTGCGCATCGCAGAGCGCATAGCGCACTAAGTTTAATTAATAAAGTAAATTTCGATATTTAATTTACAGAAAGCTGATATGGAATTTAAAAGATGAATAGAAAGGGGAATAAAATTGCAATACAATTTACAAAACCTCTTTTTTATTGATGCTTCGACAACATGGGCTGAGACACACACATTTGCTCATATGAATTTATACCACTGCGTGTTCCAACATATACATACACAACTCGTTAAATTATTGCATCGCGCTGCACTAGATTCGAGAAATAGATTAACTTAAAACTTTTTCTTTCATTTAGCTCTGCGTAAAGCCTTTCACAATTTCGTATCTTCATATGACAAAATTAAGCGATTTGTAAATTTGCAATCAAATTATGAACAATGTATTTATTCGAATACTTGCTGCTCTCAGTACAAGACAATTTACATTCGTCTCAGTCGGTAATTTCGCCGTTAACATTTAAAATTCTTTGTCAAAAATCAAAAATTGCAGGAGAACCTTATATATTAATTGAAAAACGAAGATTTCAAGTAGAGTAACAGTGAGAATGTTAACAGGGTTGCAACGTAGGCTTCCTGTGGACAAGGACAAGTAGAGGGTGGAAATTTTGAAAATCTCAAATTCCTATATTCTAAAATTCTCACATTTTCAAATAGTCAAGTTTCTAAACTCTCGAATTTTCAAGTTCTCAAATTTGTAAATTCCCAAATAAAAATTTCTGAATTTGCAAATTTGAAAATTTACCAAATCACCTCTTCAACGTCGTCATTTTCCCTAGCGAAGCCTACCATATTTGCCAGTGTACACAAGTGTTTCCGGTGGACTTCAATAATAAATAAGCTCTTTCGCACGATTAATTTTTGATCTACATAAACAATAGTAATAATCTAAAAGAGACGAGAGATCTCATTCGTGTGCTCCTCTTTTTCTGCGATCGCAGCGTTTGAAATATGAAAAGAAACGAAAACTTCCGACCATTCTATATGCATACATACATGCATACACAGACTTACATATATGTATATACATATATATTCGAGGAGATCCACATGGGTCGCAAGAATAGGTGTCGACAGGATAGACTCTTCTAATAGACTTTGCAGACGGACATAATAGAAATATTTAATATATAGCATCATATATTAATATAATATTCAGTAATAATATAATATCTATTATATATTAATATGTATGATATATTTTTTTTGTTGCTTTCAATACAGCATCCTTTTCTCGCTTTTGTCTGAGGTGATATCATTCAGCGATTGATTTTTTTCTCTTAGATTCAATCAGTACGATCTGCATTATCGAGCATGTGACTTCTTTGGGGAAAATGGCTATATATTGAGAGGAAACTCCATTGTTATTTATAAGCCAGCTTGCATGGTTTATTAATTAGAATAATTAGAATACTGGAATTGGTGTTCTGAATTGTAATAATGTTAGAGTACTTGAATGTTTAGAATTCTAATAATATTAGAGTACTCAAATATTTGAATGTTGATAATTTTTTGGTGTTCCAGTTTTGAATAGTTTTACTAGTAAATAGTTTACAAGTATTCTAACTATGTTATTCAATATAACTATATTAATACAATTATTTAATACAACTATGTCATCCGAATTTCAAAAATCAAATCGACGTTCAAATATTACAATTTTCACTGACATTCAAATACCAATAAAATATAATTTTTCCAAAACTAATTTTGAAGACGTCAAAATTAATTTACAAAATGTTACTATCGTTAATTTTTAAATATCATAAATTTTAATCTACAACAAAATAAAGATTAAATATTATATTGAATAAAAGCTTAAATATGACGGTTTACTTTCACAGTACCGCCATTTTCCCTAGAGAAGCATATCCATGCTAGGTACTGTACAATTCGCATCAGCCTTATTCGAATACTAATCCTCGTGTAATTATCAGGCATTTTGTACGACCTGCTGACTCACAACAATATGGTCGTTTTCACAACGTTTATCGTACTTACAAACAAAGACACGCTTTTTTTATCGAAACGATTTCACTCAACAAATTAAATGATTTCGATGTTCGATCCGAGTATGTCTGTTAATCTATGATCGTTTCATTTGATTCTGCGATTTGAATTTATGCAAAATTAAATGTAGGATATGGTGTCCCAGGTGTTTAACAAAGACAATGTATGTATTACACATATCAGTAAAAACAAACTTAAATATTCATATAGGCTTAGAAATATTTTATTTGAAAGTTGTAACATATATATGAAATTCTTTAGATTTTATTAGATTAGCAGTGTTCTACATTTTTCATTTTCAAATTGTTATATTAATTTTTGAGTTTTCAAATTTTTAGATTCTCTGATTCTTAAGTTTCCATATTTTTAGATTCTCAAATTCTTAAATTTCTAAATCTTTAAATTCTCTGATTCATAAATTTACAAATTTCTGAGTTCTCCAATTTTCACTTTTCAATGCTTGAATTTCCAACTTCCCAAAATTTCCAAATTTCCAGATTTAAAAATCTTAAACATCTAACTTTCCACATTCCTAAATTTTCAATCATCTGTACTTCAAAATCTTGAAATTTTTAAATTCATCAACCAAAGATTAAGTAATAAGCTTCTTCCCACATATATGGCCATTTTCTCAGAATCTAGGAATTCAGAGAAAATATATCAAAAACTCAAACAAATACTGCCAATTATATTCTATGATTAAAAAAAAAATTTCATACTATAATTCATATATCTGTTACAACTTCCAAACAAATCATTCACGCACCACTTCTTATGCTTAACAAACAAAAGTTACTAAATTAACAATATAAAAGTACGAAAAGAAAAGTAAAATGAAAGCGATCGTCAATGAATCAAGGTTGTTCAGCCTCGTCGTGCATCGATAGCAAATGTTGCCCAGGAACCTTATTTTCAGCTTGAATATGAGCGTACAGAGGCGACGAGAGTGTTACAATTCCGTGACATCGAACCCACATCTTTTCAACTCAAAACGAGTCTAAATAAACTAAACTATTTTTCATCGGACTCTCGACGCCCCTGCGAGCGGGAAATTAGAAGGTGCGACGTCGTGAAACGCGATTTCTAGATTTCGCGGCGGGAAGCTTAACTAGTGTGTCGCGTGACTGTTTTTCCCTTTCGTTTTTCTTTTGTACAAAAACGCTTGGTGTTTTCGTGACGTCGCAACGAAACGTGCACGAACGACCTCCATTGTACATTTATACAAAGCCCGGAGAATCGTTCACGTGATCGATACACACACACACATGCACACACGAACTCATTCACACACACGCGCGCACGTTGCGAAAGATTGTGCAGAACGATAAAGAAAGGAAAAGAGAATCGAAAAGGAGAAGGGTGCCCTCGAGAAACAGGCTAAAATATTCGCCTCGAGCTTGGACTTTACATCGCTAGATTTCACGTGTAGTTAATGTTATATTATATTATACCTCTCTACGTAACTACCATTCATCTTTGATATTTTCATTTTTTTTTCTTTATTCATATAATATATATATTTATATATATATTTATATAATTTCAAGAAAATAACATTCGTACAAAATTGACTACAGCCGATTGCTTTTTCATGATGTGTTCGAGTTCGATCGTCCGTTCAAATCATTATCGTGCAACGGTTAAATTAAATTGTTTACCCACGTTCGAATCTATACCCCTAAAACCCCTTATCCGTCTTTCATTCTTCCGCTTCCGATTTCTCGTTAAGATATGACGTGTATACGTATTGACCTGACTGATTGATTCCGACCGGCTCCCTATTTTTTAACCGCTTCGACACGACTTCCGGTGTATATGATTTCTTTCTTGTAATTGCGAGTTGAGTGGGCTGGTAGAATTGAGATTTGAGGAATTTCGATTTGGAGAATCTAGGGAATTTTGGGGGATCTAGGGAATTTTTAAATCTAGAGAATTTAGGGGATTTAGGGAATTTTTGAATTTAGAGAATTTGGGGATTTAGAGATTTCTGAAATCTAGGGATTTGGGGAATCTGGGGATTTGGGAAATCTGGGGATTTGGGAAATCTGGGGTTTTGGGGAATCTGGGGATTTGGGGAATCTGGGGATTTGAGGAATCTGGAGATTTGGGGAATCTAGGGATTTGGAGAATCTGGGGATTTGGGAAATCTGGGAATTTGGGAAAACTGGGGATTTGGGGAATCTGGGAATTTGGGAAAATTTGGGAAATCTGGGGATTTGGGAAATCTGGGGTTTTGGGGAATCTGGGGATTTGGGGAATCTGGGGATTTGGGAAATCTGGGGATTTGGGAAATCTGGGGTTTTGGGGAATCTGGGGATTTGGGGAATCTGGGGATTTGGGAAATCTGGGGATTTGGGAAATCTGGGGTTTTGGGGAATCTGGGGATTTGGGGAATCTGGGGATTTGAGGAATCTGTGGAATCTGGAGATTTGGGGATTTGGAGAATCTGGGGATTTGGGAAAACTGAGGATTTGGGGAATCTGGGAAATCTGGGGATTTGTGGAATCTGGAGATTTGGAGAATCTGGGGATTTGGGAAATCTGGGAATTTGGGAAAACTGGGGATTTGGGGAATCTAGGAAATCTGGGGACTTGTGGAATCTGGAGATTTGGAGAATCTGGGGATTTGGGAAAACTGGGGACTGGGAATTTGGGAAAACTGGGGATTTGGGGAATCTAGGAAATCTGGGGATTTGGGGAATCTGGGGATTTGGAGAATCTGGGGATTTGGGAAAACTGGGGATTTGGGGAATCTGGGAAATCTGGGGATTTGAGGAATCTGGGGATTTGGAGAATCTGGGGATTTTGGGAATCTAAGGATTTGAGGAATCTAAGGATTTGGGGAATCTGGAGATCTGAAGAATTTGGGAACTCAGAAAATTTTGTGATTTAGAGATTTGTGGACTTAGGGATTTGGGGAATTTGTGGATTCAGAGATTTGAGGGATCTTGAAAATTTGGGGAATTGTAATTTGGAAAATTAAGAACTCAAGGATTTGGAAATTTGGGATTAGGAAAATTTATGCTTAGACATACAAAAATTTGATAACTTGGAAAACAGTAATATTGCTACACAACAGTATAGTAATATTACTACCAAATCTAGAGACTTATTCAATAGGACTGCAACTTTAACAAACATAGAAATTCATCTAAATATGTCAGTACCATACTCACATCCCAAAGATCTCGATTATATTAATTGTAAGTACAATCTGGTCATCGTGTCGAAGTGATTAAACGCATGATTCAGATCCGTTCGTTCAGGGTCATTTGGAAAAGTTCCTACCCTTGAGTTAAGAAAATATGCAAGGACATCTCCGTTAATTAAGTTGCTACTTTTATACAGATATTTAACCGTTAGAAACGTGCAGCTCGGTGCTTCTTAAGCGGAAACGTCAAGGAGCGTACACTGGCAGCTGCGGAAGTACATTACGAAGCATAGTGGTTCTCGTAACGATGAACAAGCGAGCGTCCATTTTCTTTTCTTCGCATCTCGCGTGCTCATCGAGCGGACGCAAAAGCAACGAGAATTCCTAAAAAACCAACAATCGTATATTGAGAAAATACTTGTTGTTTTCCATCGATGGCTACGTTCAATATAGTACAGTAACCACACAATTATAGTCTGGTAAATCTTTTTGGTTTATCAATTTTAGTTATCAAATTATTTTTGTCTTTCTCTTATTACTGATATAAATTTACAGTGAAATGAAATTTGTCTAGACATTAAAAATATTAATATTTAATATAAAATATAAAGTATTTAGTACAATAAAGATCATGTGTAAAATAAAATTAATACATACTAATTTGTTATATATCTGAAATTATTGTTTAACAAATTTTGGATCCTAACGTGCGCGAACGATGGAAAACAATTTTACTCCTTGAGTGAAAAATACTTTCTCCGTGTGTACAGTACTTTAATGCTTAAACGACTGGTTATTTCATGTATTTTAATTAATAGTTTTTAATACTTACATGAACAAATTTGGAATGTTGTGTTTGATTTAGTTAATTAAAATTTTCATACTCATTAATACCATAAAAGTATGCAGTGCTCATAACATTAATACTCCTTACTTTAATTATAAAAGATTGAAAGAGAAAAACAAAGTGTAAATTAGTAAATAAAATTATTATTTCTATATAATTACGATAATAGTATATCGTACCATATACATCAATTAACCATTGCTAAAAACATTTTATAATGGTTAATAATAAAATTAAAAACAATTGCAACCAAAATTATCTACTATCATTAATACTGTCAAAAATATTGCTACCAATAATTTAATCATTCATAATGAATATTAATAACTATTAAATTTAATAAATATTTTGAACATTTCTGTAGGATACAATGACCCCATAAAAATTTAAAGAATGATTATTTTCTCAGATTATTGAAAGTAATCAAACCGGTCGTTTAAGCGCGAATTTTCACGGGGATTCAAACTACCTTCGCAACATTAAAGATGTTAATTGCTTTTGGTCCATCTTGTACCTTTCGTAATTGATTTAATGATTCTGCTCGAGTCTACATCTCTCTATCGAGCATTCGAGGCGTGCTCGCTCGAACGAGAAACAAAGCGGTGCTCTTATGGTGCATCGCACCCATAGCAAAAACAAACATCCTGATTAATCTTAGATGATAAAATCTAGAGGTGTCGCGTGAAGTGTCTGGACGTATTTCAGGTGCCTCGATATCGATTCGAACCTCATCGTCTCTTCTCTCTGTCGAGATCGAACCAATGGTGGCTCTCGATTTACACTATCAGTCAAAAATTTCCCTTAACTTATAAGAAAACTTCATGCATCTTCTATTTCATTACTGGGACTTGCATGTGAAACTACACACTGCTAGGGACACTTTAGTCTCATTCCCAAAGCAGTAATTTCTAAATCACTTTTAAATATTCTTCATATCAAATTTTCAACTTCTTGTATCTGTAAAGTACTGTAATTATATCATATAAAGTCCCATATAAATATATTATATAAAGTTTATATAAAGAAAGATTAAATAATGTTAAAAACTTACATGTATTAATTTTAACAAAAATTAAGTGTAATAATTTTTTACTGATAGTGTGTATCAAGGATTACCAGGGCCGACAAGAGAGTGTAAGGGTTGATGGGTAAAATCCCCTAGGCCCGGGGTTCACAGGGGTCGCATTTAATTTTTTTTAACCCATGTAAATTTTTGTCCCCGGGGCCCTGTGACATCTCTCGACGGCCCTGGTCTCTGGTGTCCGGTCGAAGGGCTTAATAAAAATTGACACGACGGGGGTTGTGCTCTGTTCTCACGTTTCCTCTTTCTTCCTACGTAGTTTAATCTCATTAGGCCGAAAGCCGTCTTTCGAGACGCGCTCCGTCGAGTTCTTTTTAATCCGGCCGGAGACTGACTAGACTCGCGTTCCTTCTTCGTAACAACTTCCAGTCCAACTCGTAGGAACTCAGACAAGACTGAATGAAAAGCATCATCTGTTCGATTCACAAATTCTGATCCTCCGTCATTCTGAAAAAGATCGTAGTTAGATTTAAGCAACGAAACGGGACGTTCGTCGTCGAATGAAGAAAAGCTTCGACGCGACGATGTTAGGGACAGGAAGTTGCCACTAAACGGAAACACGTGGTTGAGGCGACTGAAGATCTCCAAATACCGCGATTACCTTTCATATTTAATATTTACAGTAAGCTGTGTCTACCATTCGACTGTCGACGTTCGTAGCCTATTAATTTTTTCGTATTTTTCCGTTAATCCTGGTGTTCGTTATCCTATTTTACGGGAGAATTTCGTCGTCGCGATGAATCTGTACAAAAATGATGAACAGTGTGTGATCGGTGGATGAATTTCACGTCGACACGTGGCCAGCGTTCAAGGTGTCTTGTCCAGCGAGGTTAAGTTGTCCACCTTGAACGCCGGGCGACATTGCTCTGGCTTTTAGCCAGTTCATTCATTGTGATGCATTTTCATATCCTAAGTGCTGATCCGCGAGGACCTAACCATCTAACGTTGGACGGTACGGATGCTTTCAGGGGATGCACGAGTGCGTGTTGGTTGCTTGTCCTGGAGACGAGAGAGCCACGGAGAAATCGGAATCCAGAACTAGATCGCTGATACATCCGACGATCCCCTTCGTGTATCTACCTCCTGTCGTCCTTACGATGTCTGGAGCACCACCTGTCAATTTATATAATTTATATAATATTTATACAACAGGATATTATACATCATCTGTATAATCGAAGACGTTCAAAATTATCGATCTATAATATTTTACAACTTCAAGTTGTGGCGAAATTAACAAGTACAACTAGTTCAAATTCTATTGCCCGCGAAATTTAAAAAAGTTTTCAGGGTAATTAAATTTGATAAACGTAATAAATTTATGACTGCTAATTAAAATTTGTCAGGAAACAAATAAATAATTTAGCACAATATAATCACTTATTAATGATGATACAATTATGACGTAGTACTAAACTGTTGGTATCTTACCGACTCAATTTGGCGGGAATTTTATTTACAGTAGTAGAATATAATTTTACCTACAATATTTGACGGGAAACTTCGAAATACCGTCATATTTCGTTTCTAGCTAAATTTTGCAAGCAAGTTTCTGTTTTTTTAAAGAAACATTTGTGAGAACTGCTATATTACCGACTTCTGTGTTACCGACGAGGCACAGTATAGTCTGCGAACTGTTCTGAACACATCACTCATATTTTCGGACCCACGGAATACATTGTAAACAGCACAAAATCAATATTAATAAATATACAGTATATTTAATCAATAAAATCAATATTAATTGGATTTTTTAAAAATTGAACTGGTGGCGCCATCTCTCCGGCGAACAGGGTGAACTACACACATTTGAAACTGTACTTTAATTAGTTCCGATTTCTGCCGCTAGATGGAGTGCAGGTGGCGCCGCCAAGTGGCAGAAGATGGAACTAATCAAAGTGCTGTTTCAAAAGTGTGTAGTTCACCCCGTTCGCCGGAGAGATGGCGCCACTGGTTCGATTTTTTTTTTATTCAATTAATATTGATTTTATTAATTAATATGCTATATATTTATTATAAAAACCCAATTAATATTAATTTTATTGATTAATATGCTATATACTTATTAATATTGACTTTATGATGTTGCAATATATTCGCAGACATCATTATTATACGCTGGAGGTACTCTTTTAAAAATGGCGCGTAAATTTGAATTTAAAAAACACGTTCCTTATAATGTATTGAAACGCTCTTAACTTTTCAAGTACTTTAGACTGAATTATTTTCTATTCCTTCATTTTATATCTCTTCTACAAGTTATGATCGATATTTAACTAAAAGTGTAAACTTGAGCGCCAAATTCAATTATAAAAGAACCTACGTAACATTTTATTACTTACACAGTTTTAATGCACAGTTTTAATATACAGACAAACTATATAATATACAGCTAAAATTACTTTCTTTGTACCATATAGCATGCAATAAAATACCCACAAAAAATATTCTCGCAAACACCTAACTTTTAAAATATTAAAAGAAAATTTCCCAATTTCAACCGCAAGATCGACTGCAGTCATCAGTTCTCGCAACGGTTCTTTAACTACTAAAAAAAACATGTCCCGCTCCATCACAAAACTCGCGCACCCAAAGCTTTCCAACCCAGTTCGATATATCAGGCTTCAGGGAAAATTAGAATGGATGACAGGGAAGTTCGAAACAAAAATGATTTACTCACCAACGTAAAGACCCGTGTCGGTGTTGAGTTGCCTGAGCTGTCCAGGAGAGGACGCCGACACTCCTGTACCGCTGTCGACGACCAACGACGCCCACTGCTCGTTCCTAACGAAACATCGATCAATTTCATACGTCGGCAATTCGATTACGTGCCAGTCCCGAATTAAAAGTCGACATCCGAGAACGAACGCGGTTACCTCACGGCTCGGACACGGTGCCATAGATCATCGTCCAGTCTCGTTAAGTTGTACCGCAGAACAGCCTGGCCGGAGCCCAGATTATAAGCTAACGTCAGATAACCGTGGTCCAATCCCAAAGCAAGAAAATCGTCGTTCTCGTCTCTTTGTTCTTGCGGGTCGGCCTGTCGTCCGCTCCAGAGAAGCAGACCGCTGCTGCTACTTGCTCTGAATCTCATATTTATGTCCACTCTGTAGCTGATTATCCTGGAACATATTTATCGTTTATTGATCTGTGATTCTGGACTGATCTTTTGATCGACATTCTCTAAGTTGAGAAATTTTTGTTCGTGTCTGGATCACAACAAATATTGAGCATAGGAGGTATTCTATGTGATATTGGAATTTGGGAAATTAGGAAATGGGAAATGGGAAATTAGGAAATCGGGGAATTAGCAAATTAGGAAATTAGCAAATTGGGAAATTTGGAGGTCGGGACATTAGAAAATCGGGGAATTAGGAAATGGGGAATTAGCAAATTGGGGAATTAGAAAATTGGGAAATTAACAAATTGGGGAATTAGTAAATTGGGATATTTGGAGGTTGGGACATTAGAAAATCGGGGAATTAGCAAATTGGGGATTAGCAAATTGGGGAATTAGGAAATCGGGGAATTAGGAAATTGGGGAATTAGCAAATTGAGAAATTAGCAAATTGGGGAATTAGCAAATTGGGAAATTAGCAACTTGGGAAATTTGGAAGTTGGGAAATTTGAAGGTTGGGAAATTAACAAATCGGGAAATTAGGAAATAGTAAAATCAGAAAATCGTGACAAACTGGGGAATTAGAAAATTGGGAAATTAACAAATTGGGGAATTAGCAAATTGGGATATTTGGAGGTTGGGACATTAGAAAATCGGGGAATTAGCAAATTGGGGAATTAGGAAATCGGGGAATTAGGAAATTGGGGAATTAGCAAATTGAGAAATTAGCAAATTGGGGAATTAGCAAATTGGGAAATTAGCAACTTGGGAAATTTGGAAGTTGGGAAATTTGAAGGTTGGGAAATTAACAAATCGGGAAATTAGGAAATAGTAAAATCAGAAAATCGTGAAATTAAGAAACTGAGTTTAAATTTTAATTAAGAATTACTGAGTGTAACCCTCAGTCATCTTCAATGTTTGATTAACATCTCAACAAAAGAAAATGGCTTATCCTTTACCTCTTCATAGTATCAGCATCATTATAGTGAAGATAACTCTCGCTGCCAGAGAAGCTCGGAACTGATCTCTCGTATCGCGTACCAACGTTCGGTTTTGTTAAGGATTCATTCAGGATCGTGTTGTCGTCAGGTGCTGGACAAGGATGAGGCATACCAGGTCGACAACGACAAGTGAAACGATCCCGAAGAGGACGACATTCTGCGTCTCCGCAAGGCCTCGCCTCGCAAGCATGTCCGCAATTGCCGACATTCACTCCTCCGAGGGCCTCCGCAAGTATTCCAATCTGTTGGCAGAAAATATTTCATTAATTAGTATGTCATGTGCTGTGGAACTTTTATGTAAGTATTTGTAAAATGTTCTTGGCCACTTGGTGTCTTATTTTCATTTGAGAATTTGACATGGTTTAATATTTCAAATAGTTATGTACTGTTTTCAGATGGTTTTCTAAATTTTCTAATTTTCGGGAGATTAAATTTTTGCTTCTGAATTTTCCAGTTTTTCAAGGTTTTAATTTTTCAATTTTCCAATTTTCCAATTTCCCAATTTTCCAATTTCCTAATTTTCCAATTTTCCAGTTTCCCAATTTTCCAATTTTCCAATTTACCAATTTCCCAATTTCCCAATTCCCAAATTTCTAAATTTCCTAATTTCCCAATTTCCCAATGTTCCAATTTCCCAATTTTCCAGTTTTCAAATTTCCCAATCTCCCAAGTTCCAAATTCTCTAATTTCCCGATTTTCTAATTTCCCACTTCCTAATTTCCCCACTTCCTGATTTCCCCATTTCCTGATTTCCCCATTTCCTAATTTCCCCATTTCCTAATTTCCCCATTTCCTAATTTCCCCATTTCCCAATTCCCCATTTCCCAATTCCCCATTTCCCAATTCCCCATTTCCCAATTCCCCATTTGCCAATTTCCCATTTTCTAATTTTCCAGTTTCCCAAATTTTCCGAAACCAAATTTCCAAACTTTCTCTCTCAGTCTCAAAATCCCTAACTTTCCTCATATCCAAAAATTCAACCCTGCCAATTTTTCAAGTTTCAAATTTCTCAACTTCCAACTTAAAATCGTGCAAAAGATTTATTTCAGATATATATCCAACGACGTATTTCATCGATGCAGAGAAGAAACTTCGTTCGAGACCGGGTTATAAAATAAAAAAAGTATACTACGCGGAAATGCTATACGAGTGCGGTTGGCATTTAACGCGAGCACTCGCAATTGCACGTAACAACGTTTTTCCTTTCGGATTGTTCGTAATTGAATTGTTTTAATGCGCCTTAAATTTTCGTTTTGTACGCGCACGTTTTATTCCCTGTTTTCTTTTTTCTTCGACGCGCTGTTCACGACTCGTGAAAAATGAAAACAATTTATTTTCGGTAGGAAATCGAGTTGTGTTTCGAAGCTCGCCAGATTAATTAGCTAACTTTCATGATAACCTGTTCCCGCGTATTCATTTCCATTCCGAACGTAGTCGTGATATTTTATTTCATCCGTCGCTAACAGAAATTTTCTGCGATAATAAAACACGTTATATTTCGCAACGGATTTCACGATTTTCCACCTGTCACGCACGGCAAGATTTACACGGTACTGTTCAGTTCGTCGTGCGCGCGTTTACCGATGTATTAAAACAAACAAAATTCTATAGTCGACGCATTAAATTCCTTTTATATTACGAATTTAAAAACGCATAAAAGCTATCAAAACATGTTCTCTTTCAATTTCCATGGACGTGCTATTATCCGAGTAACATGTAAAGTTTGGATTAAATGAAAAAAAAAAAACGGTTTGAAAATATGGGAAAAATTTGTCACAACTTTTACTGATCTATTGGATACACTCGAACGCTGTACTCGTATATTTTATAAATACGCAGGTATATTATAAAATCCACATACTTTTGAGTTACAATTAAAATTTTTTATTGTAACTTTTAGGTTATGTTATGAGAATGTATGAATGGCGCGAATTTTGAATGAGAGCGTTGCATTTTATATATACTATATTATAAACACAAGTCTATGTATTTTTAAAAATATGTTATTAGTAAATTAATTGTCTTGAAAACTTATTTGAATGTTACTGTAGCAAGAAATGTTTGATTATCATTTTAAGTAATGTATAGGTACATGCAAAGTCGTAGTGGCGCGAATTTTGAACGAGAGCGTTGCATTTTATAAATACTATATTCTAGATAAAAGTCTATGTGCTTTTAAAATTGTATTATTAGTAAATTAATTGTCTTGAGAACTTATTTGAATGTTACTGTAGCAAGAAATGTTTGATCATCATTTTAAGTAATGTATAGGTACATGCAGAATCATAGTGGCGCGAATTTTGAACGAGAGAGTTGCATTTTATAAATACTATGTTCGAAATAAAAGTTTATGTACTTCTAAAATTGTGTTACTAATAAATTAACTGTCTTGAGAACTTATCTGAGTGTTAATGTAACAGAAACATGTTTGATTATCATTTTAAGTAATGTATAAGTACATGCAGAATCATAGTGGCGCGAATTTTGAACGAGAGCGTTGCATTTTATAAATACTATATTCTAGATAAAAGTCTATGTGCTTTTAAAATTGTATTATTAGTAAATTAATTGTCTTGAGAACTTATTTGAATGTTACTGTAGCAAGAAATGTTTGATCATCATTTTAAGTAATGTATAGGTACATGCAAAGTCGTAGTGGCGCGAATTTTGAACGAGAGCGTTGCATTTTATAAATACTATATTATAAATAAAAGTCTATGTACTTCTAAAATTGTATTACTAATAAATTAACTGTCTTGAGAACGTATCTGAGTGTTAATGTAACAGGAACATGTTTGATTATCATTTTAGGTAATGATACATGCAAGCTCGTAGTGGCGCGAATTTTAAACGCGTTCATAGTACACAACTATTAACTTCACTGTACAGTGAAGACTGTAACTAATTTTTTTATTAAAAATAATGATTTAATATTGTAAAAAGTATTTCCAATAGAAAATTAGTTAGAAGGAATTTTATAAAGATCTCTGACCTCTCTACGATTTAAAATGACGGTCTGAATGCATCCGACGAAGCTCGCGGTGGTTTTCATCTTCGGAGAGTACATGTCCGTGGATGGTGCACCACCCAGATAGAGATTTAGTGGCAACGAGAGTTGTGTAAAAGCTCCTGGTGCAAGGATCTCCTGAGGAGGGTCATCCTCGACCTCCAGCGAGGCTAAACGTCCGGTTCTCGACACTCGTACTTCTACCCATTCGCCTAGTCTGACAGGATTCTCGCTTCTGTAACGGAAAATCGATATGTTTGTATGTGTAGTCAAATAGCTGGGAATTCTGGGAATCAAGGGGAATATTCTTGACCATTTCGGTAGCAAATAGATACAATTTTAGGAAATGGTTTCTGAAATCATTGGGTACTATTCTATTTATCTGCGATTATTTTATATTCTGTTTTATTTATCTATAGGATTATTAGATACTGTTCTATTTATCTAGAATTATTTGATGGTATTTAAGGTTTATTAATTTACTATTAGATACTGTTTAATTCATTTAAAATTATTCGGTGCTATTTAAGATTTATTAATTCATCCTTTTAGGAATAAATTTTTATGAGGTACTAGTGCAGTTCACTCTTGTTATATTGCCAGTGATGAGACTGTAGGATAAATTGATGTGAACCATACGTAGACTACTTCAACTTGAAGCTTCAACTTGAATAGTTAATTAATTATTTCTATTAATTCACCCTTCTAGGAATCAATTTTTATGACGTACCAGTGTAGTTCACTCTCGTTATATTGCCAGAGACGAGACTGTAGGATAAATTGATGTGGACCATACATAGACTACTTCAACTTGAAGCGATAGTTAATTAATTATTTCTATTAATTCACCCTTCTAGGAATGAATTTTTATGACCAGTGCAGTCCACTCTTGTTATATTGCCAATGACGAGACTGTAGGATAAATTGATGTGGACCATACATAGACTACTTCAACTTGAAGCGATAGTTAATTAATTATTTTTATTAATTCACCCTTCTAGGAATGAATTTTTATGAGGTACCAGTGCAGTTCACTCTTGTTATATTGCCAATGACGAGACTGTAGGATAAATTGATGTGGACCATACATAGACTACTTCAACTTGAAGCGATAGTTAATTAATTATTTTTATTAATTCACCCTTCTAGGAATGAATTTTTATGAGGTACCAGTGCAGTTCACTCTTGTTATATTGCCAGAGACGAGACTATAGAATAAATTGATGTGAACCATATATAGACTACTTCAACTTGAAGCGATTGATAGTTAATTATTTCTATTAATTCACCCTTCTAGGAATGAATTTTTATGACCAGTACAGTTGACTCTTGTTATATTGCCAGTGATGAGACTGTAGAATAAATTGATGTGAACCATACACAGACTACTTCAACTTGAAGCAATTATTAATTAAATATTTCTAAAAAAGTAGTCCACAAATTTTCAATCTCTATATTCATAAATTTTTTATGTTTCACGCATTCAGTTACAACTTAACACAAAACGCACATGCACAGGTACAATAAATAAAATCTCTCATAAAAGAGGCAATATATCGCGAGCGTCATGCCCATTCACGCATACGACATCAACCCGCAAATTCACCGGGCTATTTCTATTAAAAAAAATATACTATATTTGTTGTAGATGAGACAAAACTCCTTTTTATTTATTCACGTATAATATCATTTTCAGGTAAAATGAAAAATTACCCCGTTAACAGGTTAATAAACTGTTGAATTTTTAAAGTGTTTATCCTCGCGTCCATATTATTCTTCCACGTTTTATTCACTTTCAGCGAAAATATTTTCCAGGCGGTGCGATTACGGATATTAAAACAATTCTGAAATATAATACTTTAAGTACTCTTTATTTTCGTGCGATTCTCGACAAATAATGGACGCATTCGCGTTCTCGTATATCGAAGCGGTCATTTTTCTATTAGTCAATAATCTTTTTCATAAATTTTGTTTATCGAGAACTGGGAAATATATTTTTGTAATTTGGGAAGGTGAAAATTTATGAATGTACAAATTTGAAAATTTAGTAGTTTTTCGTAACACAGAAACACAGTTCAATAAACAAATAAACTCAATATCCAAACTCTCCAATAAAGTAATTCTGATAAAAGCATTTCCCTGTCCCATCAATAAAATTTATCCTCTAAAAACTTTTACAAACCCCAGCAGATAATAACGAAACTGTTCATTTTCAGTTTCTAAGAGGAGCTGAATCTCATTTAGCGGAATTATCTTAAAATCTCCCTCTCTCATCCAACAATCTTCGGTGCTTTTCATTAAAAAAAAAAAAGTACAGATAAACGCTTCTTCCACTTTCGAGCGTCATTTTTCATGAGATTGCAGCATTATCTCCAGGTAACTTTTTAACAACGCGTTAGTACGTCGGAGTACTTTTATTTGCGAAAACATGCGAACAGACGTTCTTAACGAATCTCGTCGACGGCAGGTAAATTCCTCCGCGTTGATACAGACGTTTGTTATCCGGTGATATTAAATCTAACCGCGCGAATCCGCTTCGTCTGCTTTCATCGAGGATCGCGTTTCGTGCAATTTCCGCGTGATTCTCTGAAGTGTTCGACGAACACTGTACATCAGAAAAACGCGTGTACGAATTTCTCGGTATTTTATATCTTTTATGATTTCTCGTTGTTGAATTTTTCACGACGAAAACGTAGAAATTACGGAATTTAATAATTTGGATTTTTGGAAAATTTTATATTTAAAATTCTAGGATTTGGGGGACTTAGGGAATTTTGGAAATTTGAAGCATTTGGGGAATTTGTTGATGAATTAGGGAATTTGAGAAATCTGGCACATCTGGGGAATTTTTAGTATTTGGGATATTTAGGGAATTTGGGAATTTGGGAATTTGGGAAATTGGGAATTTTAGAGAATTTGGGAAATTTGGGAATTTTAGGGAATTTGAGAATTTTAGAGAATTTGGGAAATTTGGGAATTTTAGGGAATTTGGGAATTTTAGGGAATTTGGGAATTTTAGGGAATTTGGGAATTTGGGAATTTCAGGGGATTTGGGAATTTGGGAATTTTGGGAATTTGGGAATTTTGGGAAT